GAATGGTTGTTATGCCGCCAGGCAATGTCAATTTAATAATGCTTAATGGCAAGAATCATTTTTGGTAATAAATTCATAAGCGCATATGGCATTCGCCGGGGAACGCCTTGCTGTTTGATATTGGCCAACCCAGGAACTCTGGCTATTGCTCCTCCTCCTCCTCCTTCCTATGCTGCTTCCGATTCCTTCATTCCTTGTTCCCTGGGGGAAAAAGCCAAGGGTACTACGGATGATGGCATGGCTTGGCATGGCATGGATGGCATTCTTGGGGCAGCTTCTTGTGGCAAATATTTACCTTTTGGGGGCATGTGGCATCCCGCATGTGTCGCTCTGCCAGCTCTCTCTGTCTCTATGTGAAAATAACATTTGCAATTTTAAACACTTGAGACTTGAGTCAGTTTCTATGGAATATGTCGCAAGCTCTGTCAATTTCCCACATCTCTGTTTCTCCTTGGCTAATGGCAAATTTTCATTTATTACTCTCGTACTTTTTTCGTTATTACTCTTGTGGCTAAATTGCGATTATTTATTAATTAAATTTGTTATGACAACACACACACACACACAACCGAGATGCAAAGTCATTTGTTTTCCCCCCCTGTCCATGTCGGTTTTTGTGGCCAAAAGGCAGTAGGATGGCCACTATATATACCATAAAATCCTGCCGGACAGTCTGTGCGGCTATTATTTTAAGACTTTAGCAGGGGCTTGTCCTGCTTTTAAGCTATTTTATTGAGTTTTCCACTTCGTCCTGCTTACTGTGTCCTGCGTCAAACCCTTTTTTAACCCAAAACACACACGCACGCCAGGGCTTACATTTTTAATGTTGAGCAGACGGTTAAGCGTAATTATGTTTGTCGATGGGCCGCCGGGAGGCTTATGATGGGAGCGGGCTGGCTTTTCGGTTCAGATTTTCATTCGACCCGAGCAGGTGAACAGGTGAGACGTGTGTTAAGGCTACCCACGAAATCTGAGCTCACTTTGAGCGGAAAACACTTATCCTTTAAGGCCACAAGGAAAGCTTTAGGGCGGCACAGGAAGAAAAATATCTTCTGTGTTTTAACTGAGAATGAATATCGTATGGGAAAGTACTATCATATCGTACTTTGGGTAAATTAACCGCACTAAATAGAATATCGATAATATCCTAAAGTTTAATATATATTCAAAAATACCCGACAAGAATATAAGAAATAAATTATTATCTTTATATTTTTATTATAAAATCTTAAGCTACAATTAAAGTAGATTTTCTTTAGACTTTCCAAGTGTAAGATCTGTTTTAAAGTGAGATAAACTAGGCCTCTGGCCAGACATTAAATTAACCAGTGGCTCTCTCAGGTCTTTGGCTGTAATATCCAAAATAAACAAACTTGAGCCTGACATTTATGAGACAGTTTACTCCCACACTTTTCACTACCAGAAAAAAAAACCAAGGGGAAACTCTCTAGCTGCCTGGCAGCACTTTTCCAGCCAAGTGTCGAGCTACGTCCAGCTGAGCCCCCTTGATATTTATGAAAACGCTGGCAAACACACGACTTATGTTATTGACTCAAAATCTACTCTCTCTCTCCATACATTAGATACTTTATGGCCAGGGCTTATAACATACCATACAAGTATGTGTATGTGTAGATGTGAGTGTTCCAGCTCGGGCAAAGTTTTCCCTGCGACGACAAGGAAAAATTGCCGAATGAAAACATTTTTTACTCTGCGACGGTTTTAATTTGTGCGAAATTAAGCAAAAAATAAACTCATTTCGTTAGCTGCACCAGCAGCAGCAGCACAAACATGGCGAAACTTTTTCGATAGCTGTCTGACAACAAAAGGAGAAATCTAACATACAAAAAAAAATCCAGCGAAAATGCCGCGCTTGCTGGGAAAACTTTCGGCGGAAGTTGATGGCAGGAAAACTCGAGTAAAATGTGCACGAAATTGTCTCTCTCCCTCTGTCTCTCTCTCAGAGTGGAAGAAAAATCTATGCGATTGAGGAGAAATTGCAAAATTCAATGCCACTTCACTACGCTTGGCGTCCCCGCGTCTGAGCCTCCGGCGTTTTCCATTACGACGGCATCTTCATTCCGGCCATGCCCCATGCCACCTGACCGGCCTCCTTAGCCTGCTTCTGCTTCTGCTCCTGCTAGTGTTCCTCTTCCTTCCGTTGTGGCCATGACTTGGTGACAACTCCGCCGAAGGAGCACTGAGCATGCAAAGCTCCTCGCCAGAACTGCCGACGGTGATTTAGTTGTTGGCCTGCGGACAAACATTTCATGGCTCGATGTGCTCAATTCAATCAATTGCCATTGACAGAGACAGCGCAGACGGTCGTCGGTATCAGGTCGAGGATAACAGGTAAACGAGATGTCCCATCCTGGTGCAATTTTAATCAAAAATTCGCATGGATGTGTGTGTGCCGGCTGATAGATTGCGGCCTTACCTGCCCGACTCTGGTTGTCACAGGTTGGCATAATGGGCGACATGCCACCAAATGTGAATTGAACACAAGACAAAACTGACAGCAAGAAGAGGATATATAAAAATATATGTGTTCAAGAAGGATTCTCTAAAAAATAAGCAATAATTTATGATTTAAATTAATATATAAAGGAGAAATAAATTTATACTTATCAATATTTTTAATAGAAAACTAAACTGAATTCCCTTATGAACAAACTTGAAAATTATAACTTTATATAATACATCCTCCTGATTTATATACACATAAACATGCCAGTTCATTGTGTGATATAACATCTTCTGGTATCCCTAATTCCTCCGTTGATTACCCTTTTAATCAAAGATAGCTTCCTATGCGTGCTTTCTATACGTGAAAGATTTCCGGGTCAAAAATAATTTTCTCGAAGTATGAAAGCATTTTTCCTACAGACCAAAAACTGGCCATAACAAAGGACTCAACTCGACTGCCGGGGCAACTTGGCCAAATGATTCCCCTTTTGTTATTCACCGGCCATATATAGGAGGGTTCTCTATGGAGCTCCATCCATTTGGCTAATTGTTCAGTTTGTTTTACGTGTAAGGCAACAAATTGGCCGAAGCACACGTTTCCCCAGACGGCCCAGGGTTTTCGTTTCCATTCCCATTCCCGTTACTATACCCTCACCCATAGTGCACGTTCCGCTGTACCATGCACCCCGTCCTTCTGCCGAAAAGTGGAGAGGCGGAGAGCTACTGCCTGTCGGGTTCATAATAATTTAAATGCTCGGCACACAAAGTGACATGGCAAAGACAAACAGAGGTCAAGCTCCGTCAGCGGAGGTGCTGCTTTCCATGCTCCTAGTGGTGCTACTCCTGCTCCTACTGCACTGGCAAACTGCAAATGGCTACGTGACCGGATGCACTGCAGCGGTTTGCATTTAAATCCAAAGACAGCAGCAACGAAATTAGCACGACAAAGGGTAGCCAGTGGAGTCTACCAACAAACCGGAGGGGATTAGACTGTTTTTGGAGGGGCAAGGGATTGGATGCCTGCCTGGCGCTTGAGTTAATTTACCCTGGCAAGCAGCAAGCAACAAGCTCTGCGCAAATAGCAAACGACAAACGGCCCGGGCAGTTGTGCAGTTTGGGATCCGAATCCCAAACCCAATCCCAGAGACTTGGGCCTCTGGATGGATCAACGGCCGAGCAAACAAATGGCGTTGCAATTGAGCACGTTTTTGTCGAGTCCAATGGAAATGAACTGCGACACGGTGATTCAGTTCAGGACCAGGCCAAGGAGATCGAGAGGAGTCAAATAGACAGAGAGAGAGAGAGAGAGAGAGAGGTCTCGGGCAGGTCAAGAGGCATGCGACAGTTGACAGTACGTGAGCCCCAAGGACATTAGGGCCGGATGTGTGCGCATCTAAGTAAGCCGCTTCTTTGAGTTCTGAATGGCAGCTAAACTGTGCTGAGTCCTTTGATTCCCTCGAAATGGAATATAAACTTGGCTTAGGGTAACACTATGTCTGGAAAACTATAAAGAGAAACCTCCTTATTTCCCTAGAACATTGGTAAATCAAGGGAAAGTCAATTAGTCTGGGTTTGAGGCTAAGATAAATCTGGTTGTTTGGCTTATTAGCTGCGAAATTGAGGTATCTCTTGGCTCCTCCTTCAATGCCCCGGGCTCAATGGCTCGAAAGAAGTAATTGGAAACGAAGCAGTTAGTGGAGGAGAAGGAAAAAAAGAAAGCCAAGCCGAAGCCATTTAAGTGAAGCGATCAGCCCGGTTGCAAGTGGTTAAATGCCTCAATGCATATTGAAGAGCCTACCTCCCCGAGAGAGTCCTGGTGAAAGGATGGAAAAAATAGACAAGGGAAATTGGTAGATAAAAGACACAAGGCATATGCCAAAAGAGACAAGGCAAGGTCCTCTGTTAACCGCAAAGAAAAGGCTCAACTTTCGGGGCCTGCTCTATTTTTTTTTCCTGCGTTAGTTAACAACAGCAGACGGGTCCGGCATAAAAGAAACATAACTAATTTGCATAAAATGTAGAGACACACACACACAGCGCTTCGACTTGGTCTCAGTTTCAGCTTTTCCGGGGAAGTGCAAACTTTGCTGACGGAAATCAAGGAGAGTTGTCGTTGTCCCCAAACCCAAAACCCTCTGCGGTTGTGACCCGAGGACCCAGTACCTGTACACTGTGTGAATGTTTGCTGTGTGTGTTTGCAAACTTTGCTCAAAATTTACAAAATACTAAACTAAGTGAAAACCACCAAAGTCCGGGGCCCCAGACTCGCCTTCGTCTTTAAGCGTCCTGGGGAGAGGGGTAAACTTTTAGCATGACAAAGTGAAAGTTGAGGGTGTTGTCTTCGTTGGCACTGGCCACCATATTAGCGGTTAACAAAATATATTCCGAGATAAGCGAAAGATATACAAGGCCTACACTTGCATGTAGGAAACTTTCGCTGGAGCTCGAAATTATGCAAGGGGAAACCCAACTCCCTTGCAAAGTGGAATATCTTAGCATGTTGATATCCTTATTTCTCTGCTTATATTTTGCAGCCTGGTCAACCAGACGATGCCGGATGCCTCCAAGGTCCGTATGATGGTGCAAAGGGCCCTCAATGTTTGGGAAAGCAACTCGAAGCTCACGTTCCGCGAGGTGTACAGCGACCAGGCGGATATCCAGATTCTGTTTGCAAGGTAAGTAAACCTGGAAGTGAAGGAGTTTCTTCTGAAAAACGATTTGCCTTAGGATTTAAAGCTGGAAAATAGTTTTCAAATAAAATCGTTAAAAATTCGATTTAAAATCGATAAGCATCCATGTTTTTCAAGCTTTAATTGCCATTTCCATTTTGTGTTATATTTTTTTTTGCGGTGCACTGAATTTCGTGTGTCCCAGGATAATGGGAAAACACGAGGAGCTTTCCGGGTGGAAGAGATCATAAAAAATGACGCGCTTTACGGCCATAAACAAACGCACATAAAATTGCACTTAAAACCCGGAGGCGAACGATAAATAAGCCAAGTATTAAACCGTGCAACGACGGCGATGATAAAATGCCGATGACAAAGTCGATGGACATCCCACCGACGACGAATCAAAGAGTTTATGCGCGCCAGCTGCTTGGTCTTAGATAAGCTGTGAATATGAGCGAGCTCTGTCCCTCCTTAATCCCCTATGTAATCCGTACTCCTTGCTCTGCTCTCTTTGCAGGCTCCAGCACGGCGATGGCTATAAATTCGATGGACCCGGCCAGGTGCTGGCCCACGCCTTCTATCCCGGCGACGGGCGCGGCGGCGATGCCCACTTCGATGCGGACGAGACCTGGAACTACAATCCGGACGAAAGCCGCGGTGAGTAGAGTACGGTACATCAACTCAGTTGCACATGGCGCACAGCTGAATGACGTGAATTAATTGCATTAGATTGCCATAATAATGTACCGCGGCGGCACAGTCTGGTCTGCGGCATTTTTTGGGTGTGGTGGTATATACTCGAAAAAAATAACAATGGTCCTTTAATTATAGTTATTTATTTATTGATTTAAAGTACAACAAATTTATTTATTTATTTTTCTCTTGAACTTTTGTATTATTTTCAATTCTATGCTACAAATTACCACAAAATTGAACCTTATGAAAACCAATTGTTTCCTTTTAGCCTTAAACTTTTAATAAAACATCCAAGATATAACTTTCTTCGATATTGCATAAAAAGTAGCATAGAAAGCATCAAAAGAATCACATGAAAAACATGTTCAACAAAGTCTGGGACTTAGAAAAAAGGTTTCATAAAGTTTTCAAAAGAAATCCAATGAAGCTTATGGTTTTTGCAAGTTGCCTAAATTTTTTTACGAGTGCTGGGAAATGTGTGAAACCGAAACCACACACATGTAAAATCAATAAAGGCTGCATACGTTGCGGCGACCCCGACCAGGGTGATGATGGTGGAGTCTCCTCCATGGCGTCGCGTCGCCTGCAGAATGCCGCTTGCCGGTTGCGTTTTGTAATTTAGCACAATAAATCGTCAGCGGACGCAGAAGCCCCCCCCCCCCCATCCTTAGACCTCCCGACACTGTGCTTCGGCATTTTTAATGGTTTTTAATACCAATAAAAAATTGTCAGCATGACGCGTGACGTTGGCAGCCATTTTAAAATGTTGCAAGCGTCGCCATTTTTATGCCACTTACAAAGTCGTCAAGGCGACGACGTCTCCACGGAGTCGGAGAAACGGAACCCGACCGACCCCTTCTTAGGTTAACCCCCCCTGTGCCTGCCGGCCATTAACGTAGTCAGCGTGTGTATTTATGTTGCATTCCGTGTGTCATTCTTGTTGCAGGAACCAATTTTCTGAACGTGGCTTTGCACGAACTGGGTCACTCGCTGGGACTAGGCCACTCCTCGGACTCGAATGCGGTCATGTTCCCATGGTACCAGAGCAACGAGGTGGACAACAAGCTGCCCGATGACGATCGCAACGGCATCCAGGAGCTTTACGGCTCCAAGGAGAAGACCTGGGGCCCCTACAAGCCACCACCTACGCACACCACCACCACCACAACGACCACCACTATGCGAACCCTAAGCTACAAGCCCGGCTTCAATCCCAGCCGGGATCCCAACAGGGAGCGGGAAAGGGACCTAAGGCGAGAGCGAGAACAGGCCGCTCGAAGACGAGCGGAACAGGAGCGAGCTGAACAAGAGCGAGCGGAGCAGGACCAGCGTCAGCGGGAGAGGCAGCGCAGGCTGGAGTGGGAGAGGGAAAGGGAGCGCCAGAACCGACAGAGGCAGGTGCAGCTGGAGCGAGAGCAGCGTGAACGAGAGCGTAACAAGAGCCGAGAGCGCCTAACCACCACGACCACGGTGAGACCCACTGCCAGGCCGTATCCAAACGGTGGACACCGATCCCAGGGCAGCCACCACAAGCCGCGGAAACCCAAGCCAGACAGCTGCATGACCTACTACGATGCCATTTCCATGATCCGCGGGGAACTGTTCATCTTCCGGGGACCCGTAAGTACAAATTTAAGGATATATCCCTGGAGAGCTCAGCTAGAACCTTTCAAACTCTTTGCAGTTCCTTTGGCGCATTGGAGCAAACGGCCTGTATCGTGGCTATCCCACAGAGACCCGAAGACACTGGGCTGCTCTGCCCGAGAACTTTACCAAGGTGGATGCGGTCTACGAAAACAAACAGCGGCAGATAGTGTTCTTTATAGGTAAGCTTATAAAGGAAATAGGATTTCAAGACAAATTTTAATTTGTATTCTTCCTCTTCCAGGTCGTCAGTATTATGTGTTCAACTCGGTGACTCTGGCTCCTGGCTACCCCAAGCCCTTGGTCAGCCTGGGCCTGCCTCCCACTCTCAACCACATCGATGCCTCTTTCGTGTGGGGTCACAACAATCAGACTTATTTGACCAGCGGCACTCTCTACTGGCGCATTGACGACTACACCGGCCAGGTGGAGCAGGACTATCCGCGGGACATGAGCATCTGGTCGGGAGTGGGCTATAACATCGATGATGCCTTCCAGTACAGCGACGGCAAGACGTACTTCTTCAAGAACCTGGGCTACTGGGAATTCAACGATGACCTCATGAAGGTGGCCCATGCCAGGGCAAAGTTGTCCTCCCGCAAGTGGATGCAGTGTGCCCGAAGTGCCAACGAGGTGGATGATGAGGAGCGTTGGACAGCGCCATTGGTTTCCGGGGAGAACGATTCAGCGGAACGGAGTGCGGCAACCAGAGAGCAGGGAATCAGTCTGTTCCTGCTGTGGTTGACCCTTTTCTCGGTCACCTTTTGGCGCAGTTAAGATCGGATTAAGGGTTTAGGCTTAGGAATCCTTAGCATTTAAGCGCCATGGTTCGCCTCATTCGGATCCCTCATTTTACATAACAAAAAATCGATAGATTAAGAAGAAATAGAAAGGATCTGCTATGGATTTTAATGATATATTATTTATAACCAGAGCAGATCTTTTAGTAACTTTATAGCAGAGCGCAACTGTGTGACAGTCTGGCGCTTGATAGCCCCCAAGACGACACCGAGCGGCCTTCTCTTAGTTTTTAAGGCCAAATAAATCAACATTTAAGTGAGAGTCCCCTCGAGGAAGGACTCTAAGACTCGATTTATTCATGGACACTTGCCAATTGTGCATACTGGCGCCGTCTGTTGGACATATAGCAGGGCTGTTTTACCAGATCTATAAACAATATAAATATATATATAAGAAATAAAAGCAGATTTATACCATTACTATTAGCCTGCATAAATGTAGCAATAAATAATGTCTTAAGTATACAGAAATTGCCGAAATTCCACGATGAAATTCGGAACCGCAACTGCCTTATAAATAAGTAATAGTATTGCTTTTTATTGACGAACATAACCGTGTCTTAGCTGTGAGCGTTCCAACCGTTTGCTCCTCCTTTATTATTTTGTTTTTGACGAACCTTTCTAATTATTTATATATGTATATGTAAATGTGATATTATCATAAATTCTGAGCGATTGTAAACGAAAGAAAAACAACCCAGCAAAAAGCGAAAAACAAAACATTTCGGTTAGCTTTTTTTTTAGTTTAATTTACTTAAGATACTCGAGCTGTAAACCATCTTTTGATATGCATTTTTATCGAAATAAAATTTTACAGATAAATAAAATAAAAAAAAACGATTACTTTCGTCACAAAATGAGTTGTTTATATTTGTAATGGTGCAAGGGTACTGTGCTTAACTGGAAGAAGGAGGGATTTTTGAGTCTAGGATCACCAGGCGAGTCGATATAGACATATCTATCACTTGAATACATTGCCGGGCTAGTAAAAAAAACAATTTTAATTGAACGATCACTCACTTGTAACCTTCCTACTTGTTTTACCAGTGAGGTAATGATATGCTTTAATGAACACCTGTGATATTCTTTATCTATACCTCACTATAACGAGTAAGCCCAAAATCAGGCCATTACTATCACAGCTTTGGGAAGCCCAAAGAAGGAACAAAGTCTGAATAGAATAGAGTTCTCGTAACCCTGATTTATTTTCACATATCCATGATGACAGAGCTAAAAATGAATCGTAAATGGGAGCCGTCACCGATAGGAAAATGAACGTGTTTTCAGAGTTCCAATGAGGCCAAATAAAAAACAGAAATAAACAAATGTATCATGTTCAAAACGATAATATCGTTATCGTCATATATATAGACAAGTTGGAAGGAAATCTCTGCTGATAACAATGCCGGGTGTCGTGCGAGGTGAAAGTGTTGCGTGTTACTCCTCGTCGACACATGGAATATGAATATCCACTCGAATGGACACTTCCTGTCGGGTCAACTTTGAGGGAGCCTTATCTAGAGCCATGTAAATCCCCCGATCATAATGCAATTGTAATGATTACAGACTATCTTATCACGAACCATGCATTAGCCATTCGACACAGAAGGTGTTAATTTAATGTAACACCCGGCAGTGAGATCTCTCACTCGGCTCGGCTCTCTCACTGTTGTGTTTTCGACTGCCATTAGGGAGTGCGTCACCTAGGCAGCCGTGACGTCCACACCGATCCAGCAATCCATCGTTCTCCACCGTTCTCCTTACCCGGCTTCCATGTGGTGCCCAGAAGCAGACCCAAAATCGGCAATTTCGCGGCGAGGCGGTGACAGTCGCGCGCCCACAGTCAAAGCCAACGGTTGAACACTCGATTTTCGCGAGGAGGCGGCACATATCGCACATATATAATATATAGAAATTTATATGCATATATGTATATAGAGCGGCTAATATTAAATTAAAGACAATTGTGAGTAGAGGTCGCGACAACGAATGTTCGGGAAACCAGGGCAAGACAACCTGGTATCTGGTTTGCGTGCACTTGAATTCCAAACCCAAACGGTGGTGATCCCTGCTGATAAGCGGTATCTTTGGTTTTCGTCAGGGCGATGTGTTCTTGATACCAGATAGTGCGTGAGCCCCCAAGCTAATTGCCATTTAACACTTGAGACCGTGACTAATCGCAGCAGCAGCAGTAATTTATGTTTAAGTTCAAGTCACTAATCTGGGAGAGAAACAATCTATCAGACTTTCTGGTGACTCCCTTTGATAAGTCAGTCAGTTCTTGAGGCATTCATATTTGTTATTCAATTTTTATTATGGAGATTTACCTCCGATCCCCTAGTAGTTAATCTAATCAAGAACCAACTCGTTAACTATATCTTTAAATGACTTCAAGTTTAAGTGTTCCTGAATTGAGATTGCAGACCCGCTAAATTATTCATCGTTTATTACTATGACGGTGACCAGCTGGGAATCCAACAGAGATTTGGATCTCCGCTTAAGTAGGACCATGTTTAATCTAATCGAGAAAACATGGCCCAAGAATCTGTCGAACCAAGAATGGATGGCGTTGGCCATATGGCGTGGGTGCTATCTAATCACAACGCCACAGAGAGACACCAGTTACTGTCATAACTAGGCGGAAACGGGGCCAAAAGCAACCACTGGGGTTGACTAATCGCACCTGGAAAAATTTCAATAAATCAAACCTATGCTTTGCAGCGAACAGGTAGTTGGGTGATAAGGAGAGAAGCGTTGCCATGTCGAACACCATTCGCAGCCTAAGCCCAGAGCTGGCCAAGAAGGCGCACGATGAGCTGGGCGAGGTGCCCGAGAGGATCGATGAGGATATCGAGACGCTGCGCACTTGGATTGCCAAGCAGCCGCATCTGACGGCGCGAGAGGATGCCCAGTTCCTGGTGGCCTTCCTGCGAGGCTGTAAATACAGTCTGGAGAAGAGCAAGCTCAAGCTGGATAACTTTTACGCCATGCGGGGAGCAGTGCCAGAGCTGTACAAGAACCGTTTTGTGGGCGAGAAGCAGCTGAGCATTCTGGAAACGGGGTAAGAAAGTTCTCTTAAGGATTCTGGTTATTCTTTATTAATTACCAAAATTTTACAGTTGCCTCCTTCGATTGCCACAGCCCTTGGAGCCAGATGGGCCCCGCATCCACATCTCCCGCTATGGCCAATATGACTCCAAGAAGTACTCCATTGCCGAGGTAATACAAGTAAACACCATGCTGGGTGAGATTCAGATACGGGAGGATGACAATGCCATGATCTCCGGCTTTGTGGAGATCATCGACATGAAGGGCATTGGCACCGGTCACCTGTTCCAGTTCGATGCAGTTCTGGTCAAGAAACTGGCGGTTCTCGGAGATAAGGCCTATCCCTACAGACCCAAGGGTTTCCATTTCGTCAATGCCCCCTCCAGTGCAGAGAAGTTCATGTCCATTGCCAAGAGTCTGATGAGTGAAAAGATTCGGAAGAGGGTGAGTAGTTTCCTTGATCCTTGGGTAACTGTAACTGGGAACTCTTTTACCACTCCTCATAGTTCCACATACACTCCAAACTGGAGAGCCTCTACAAGTACGTGCCCAAGGAATGCCTGCCAGCTGAATATGGAGGCAGCAACGGCACCGTCCAGGATGTGGTCAATACATGGCGAACAAAGCTCATATCGTACAAGGATTTCTTCGAGGAGGAAGTGTCCTATGGCACCAACGAGAAGCTGAGACGGGGACAGCCTGTCAACGCTGAGTCCCTGTTCGGCATCGAAGGCTCCTTCAGAAAACTTGACATTGACTAGACCCTAGACACTTTTTAACTAATAATATTTTTTAGAAATTTGTAGTAATTTTTAATCTTTAACATTGTACAAATATGAACACAAAACGGAACTAACAAGCGAAAGGGTTTTTTTTTAAGAATTTACATTTCAGCTAAGATACGGAAAGTGTATATTTCTCTTCTTCACAATTTAGCCACATTATCCTGTTTGGCTTTGTGATTGATAAACTTCAAGGACTCATCGTGAAAGGGATTTGTGGCCTCTCGAACGCGTTCCAACCATTTGGTTACCTTAGGGAACCTTTGCCCATCGACAAAATAGTGACAGATCTCTGGAAAAATCATCAAATTATCAACATCTTTGAAAAGTTAAAAATCCTGTACAACCCACTCAATTGATTAATTTCCGAGGCGCCCAGGATATCAGCCACCGTTAGATTGGGTCCTGCCAGGAAGTCGTTCTCCAGAAACAGCAACTCCAGCAGACCCAAATTGTTTTCCACGCCCTCCACCAGCTGCTTAATCTGTTCCGGCTTGGGCTTGGGTGCCAAACCATTTATGGGAAAGAGCCAGGCATCGCGGAAGAACATAGAGCAGGCCAGTCGTATATTGAGATGCTGCCACTCCAGAAACTCATCTACCCGCGCCCGAGCCTCTATAGACTTCGGGTACAGCTTTTCATCGAACTGACCTTTGTCGGCGAGATAACTAGAGGGGCAATGTTCGAGTTAAAAACATTGATTAACGATTTTCGGAGCAATTACCGTATGATGGCTATGGTCTCCGCCAAGTGAAAGTCCCCATCCACGATGGCTGGCACCTTCTGAAAGCGATTGATCTTCTTGTATTCATCGGTAAGTTGCTCAACTGAAATACACTTTAAATTATTAGACATGGAAACATAAAAATTCTTTGGTTTAACTTACATTTACGGAGGGCAATGGGGCAATACTCGATGGGTTTTTTGCCCAATTTCAGAGCCAACCACAGTCCCCTTGCGGTAGGTGACAACAAGTCGTAATAGAACCTAATTGACCTGGACATGGCAACGTCAAGTGTTGTGTTGTGGTTCCTCCGCGAACTACCGGCGACTATCAAGTAATTCCCCCCCAGCTGAGTGGAACCACAACAAAGAAGGTGCCTCCAGTCCAAAGATCAATTCGGACAGCTTGCAGCACTGGCTGACTAAAGATTGTATAGAGTTGTCCCGCTCTAGGAGGTAAATTCAAATTTAAACCGAAGTAAAGTCTTGACCAGATTTAAATATATTTCTATGCCGGCATGTAAAAGAAGACAATAAACACAACAAAGGCACAAACTGGTTACAGTGATGTCTTAAACGAATAATAAATGCAAAGAAAAACTGAAGCTGTTATTTCCTATTTAAATCTTTGCTTTTGCAGACTGCTTGGAGACCTTGTAAAGGAAGCTATGGGCCTCATCATGGTAAGGATTGGTGGCCTCTCGGACACGTTCCAGCCACTTGGCTACCTTGGGGAATTGCTTCTCATTCACATTGTATTGGCAGAGCTCTGAAAAGGATTAAAGACATACAAAAACAATTCTTCTTAGAGCTTAAAAGTAAATCCTACTCATTTGGTTGATTTCCGAGGCTCCAAAGATATCGGCCACTGTGAGTTTGTCCCCAATCAGAAAGTCCTTCTCCAGCCAGATGCGTTCCACAAGACCCAAATTGGCCTCCACATCCTTGATTAGCTTCTGAACAGCCTCTGGTTTTGGGGCCGGAGCCAAGCCCTTGGCAGGCAGCAGCCACACTTGGCGGAAGAACAAGGAGCAGACGAAGCGAACATTGAAATGCTGCCACTCCAGGAACTCATCCACGCGGGCACGGCCCTGCAGTGACTTGGGATACAGCTGCTCGCTGAACACACCTTTGTCCGAGAGATAACTGGAAAGAGAAGAGATTTACTATGAGCTCTGGTAATCTAGAAGTCAAGAAGATTACTTACCGCACTATGGAGACACTTTCGCCCAGCTGAAAGTCACCATCCACGATGGCCGGCACCTTCTGGAAGCGATTTATCTTCTTGTACTCGTCGGTCAACTGCTCCTCTGGCAAATGGAACACAAAATAAATATTATATCAGCCGGCTTTTGGTGCTACTTGTTGTTGCTCTGTTGGTTCTTACGTTTTCTCAGCGCAACGGGGCAATCTTCAAAAGGCGTTTTGCTCATTTGCATGGCAATCCACAGGGCGCGAGAGGGCTGCGACAGGAAATCATAATAGTACTTAATTGCCTTTGACATTTTGACAAATTTCTATTCAGCTGTGCCGAAGTATAACTACAGTGGCTCACAGCTTATTTCAACCAGACCCAATCAAAAACTTTAAATGCCTGTAAAACATAAACCAAAGGGTTTTTCGAAAAAATTTAAACGCACAATGATAGATTTATGTTTAAACTTAATATTTGTTAACTTCGTGTATTTTTATATATTTTTTTATATATTTTTTTTTAATTAACAACAAAAAACAACGAAAAACAATGCCACAGCTTATTTCAACCAGGTCGGTACTTCTATGTATTTTTAATGCTTAAAGATTACCAATATTTTTTTTAATATTTGGTATGGCCACCTTTGCTATCCATAACCATTTTAAGCCTTTTTGGCATGGAATCCACCAGTTTTTGGGTTGTTTCTTGGGCTATTTTTGCCCACTCCTCTGTCAACGCCTCTTTCAGGTCCGATTTATTCGAAATCTTTCGTTTTCGAATATTTGTGTCCAAAATTGCCCACACATTTTCAATCACATTCATGTCTGGCGACTGTGCAGGCGGCTGCATAACGTTCGGGCAGTTCCAGTAAAGCCAAGCCTGAACAATGCCCGACTTATGTTTCGGATCGTTGTCTTGGTAGAAACGAAAATCTTCCCGAATACCAAGTCCCTCGGCGCTTTCGATCAATTTTTTTTTAATCTCAAGATATTGAGTTTTTTTCATTGTGGTATCAATAAACTCGAGATTTCCAACACCTGCTGCCGACATACAGGCCCATACCATAACGCTTCCGCCGCCATGCTTAACTGTCGCTTTTAGATTATTTGTTTGCAGCTCAGTATTCGGCTTTCGCCACACATAGGATGCACCATCTGAGCCAAATATATTGAACGTTGACTCTTCCGCAAATATGACTGTATTCCAGAATGAAGAATCCTTTTCTAAGTGCTCTTTTGCAAAATTTAAGCGTCTCTTGATATTCTTGGCACTAATGATCGGCTTCTTCCGTGCTATTCTGCCATTATAGTCATGCTCTCGGAGCACACGACGAATTGTTTCTGGGTGGCAGGACTTGCCCAACTCGGTCTCGACCTCACTTGCAATTTTCGGTGCCGATAATTTGGGATTTTCCCGAATTTTCCGGACTATATGGCGCTCGTCTGTTGGGTTCAAAATTTTGTTGGGCGCCGTTCTTCCCTTATCGTGCACCCTATTCTCACGGACAAAACGGTATATGATACTACGGAGCAGTGGAATCACTTAGACCAACCATTTCGGCAATTTTCCTACGCGAATTTCCATTTTTTAAAATGTTTTATCACGAGTTCTCGCTGTTCGATTGTTGTACGTGGTCCCATTTTTCTTACCGAATTTTCGCTCACTAAATTCTTGCCAAATTTTCCAAGAATAAGCTTGAACCAACTCCGAATAGATTGACCAAAGCACAGAAAAAATTAGAACCCCTACTTTTTTAAGTAACAGTGTATAGCAAAACTGCAAACTTTTTGGTTGAAATAAGCTGTGGCCTTGTTTTTCGTTGTTTTTTTGTTCTTAATTTAAAAAGAAATATTAAAAAAATATATAAAAATACATGAAGTTAACAAATATTAAGTTTAAACATAAATCTATCATTGTGTGTTAAAATTTTTTGGAAAAACCCTTTGGTTTATGTTTTACAGGCATTTAAAGTTTTTGATTGGGTCTGGTTGAAATAAGCTGTGAGCCACTGTAGGTAAACACACAAATAATAATAGCCAGTCCAGATGGGAAGGTGACAGAAAGCTTTCCATCAGTCCAAAGTTCAATTTTGTCGTTTTGCAACACTCTACGGAGCTTTAGGGGGGACCTTAACAAGATAATATTGAAAGACAAATTGTTTAAACACTACAAAATATATAAAAATTTAATATGTACGTAATTTTAATTTATTTTTAATAGATTTAACATTACAATATTTCCAAATACTTTGTTAATACAAATGAGGCATATATTGTAGAAATGAAAAAAAAAAAACTCCGATGTCACCAAATAATTTTAAAAATTTTAACAATGCTTCCTGCTTTTTTGACTTAGTTGTAGTGTTTTTAAGCTTTGATTTTCCTAATATGTCGATAATTACAAAAGTCGACAGCTTTTTAGAACCACGAACCGGAATACACTTTGCTGATTAATTTTTATTCGCCGATCTCAAATGTGACTTCTATTCGTTTTATTTTTAAAGTTTGTAAAAATTATTATTGGTCCCACAGATATCGTCTTGTGAACTTACATCTATTAATATTTACCATATATTTTTGAAAATATACAAAAATACACATATATGAAGAATAGACTATATAAACTCAAAACTTTTGAGTCAAAAGACAATATCTCGAAGATCTATTTAGGTTTTTTAACTGATTTTTATACCCTTGCAGGGTATTATAATTTCAGTCAGAAGTTTGCAACGCAGTGAAGGAGACCTTTCCGACCCTATAAAGTATATATATTCTTGATCAGCATCAACAAGGGAATCTTTCTAGATATGTCAGGAAGAAATCCAATTTTTGGTCATTTTTGAAAAATTTTATAAGGGGTTACATCATTAAAATGTTTGATTTCGATAAAAAATTAAATTTTCAAATTTTTTAATTGAAGTATGCAGATTTATTAACTGTAGAAAATCTTGCACAGAACTGTTTTCCGATTTAAAATTAATGCTCTTTTGGCCGAGTTATGATATTTTTAGTTTAAAGAAAATCAAGAAGTTTTTTAATATAAAAAATCCGATTTTTAAATGCAAAATAATATTTTTCTAAATCAAGGAATCATTTTCGACCCCATAAACCATATATATTCTTGATCAGCATCAACAGGGAAATCTTTCTAGACATGTCCGGAAGAAATCGATTTTTGGCCATTTTTCCAAAATTTTATAAGGGGTTAGTTACATCATTAAAATTTTTGATTTTGATAAAAAATTGAATTTTCAAAATTTTTAAATGAAGTATGCAGATTTATTAACTGTAGAAAATCTTGCACAGAACTGTTTTCCGATTTACAATTAATGCTCTTTTGGACGAGTTTTGATATTTTTAATTTAAAAAAATCAAGACTTTTTTAATATAAAAAATCAGATTTTATAATACAAAATAATATTTTTCTAAGTCAAGGAATCATTTCCGACCCCATAAACCATATATATTCTTGATCAGCATCAACAGGGGAATCTTTCTAGGCATGTCCGGAAGAAATCGATTTTTTGGCCATTTTTGCGAAATTTGATAAGGGGTTACATCATTAAAATTTTCAAAAATGGCCAAAAATTTTGATTTCTTAAAATTTTAAATTTGGTATGCAGTTTTTTAAATTAATAAAAACTAACACAAAACTGCTTCCCGAATCGAAATTAATGCATTTTTGGCTTAGTTATGATATATTTCAATTGTTACCTGAAAGGGTATACAAACTTTGGCTGGCCAAAGTTAGCTTTCTTTCTTGTTTTTACTGATTTTAAAGTAAAATAACACTACACTATGATAACGTAACGAAGGTTATGAAAAGTTGAATTTACAGCACCACAAAAGTACCCAAAACCCGTATTTGGAGTACTTTAAGGAAGGAATATCTCAAATACCTACTGGGAAAGTATATTCCGGCTTTTGGTTCTGCGATTTTTTCAAATTTTGTCGACTTGTGATATCATTTAAGAGTTTAAAATTTAAGCAGCACAAAATATCTCTTTTCAGCTAGTAAATCCAAATGGGAGGTTATAAAAATATTTTCAAATTTATAAAACTATTGCAAAAGTAACTATTGTACAAGAAAGTTTCCTTCATCCATTATATTTCTTATATGTGAACCCAAACTCACCTAAAGTATTTAATGGTCTTAACTTATCAATTAACCAACCGGACATTTGATATCATGGCCTTTATCTGGAACTCAGATAAAGCTTATTGCCTTGGTAGAAAAAAGAAAAATAAAAAACTGGAACCCCCCAAAGTAATACATCATTTTTGTTTTACTTGTACCGACATTTAAACAAATTCGCTTTAAATTTATTAACGCACTCAACATGGGACTCTGACTCTACAATACACTGTCATTTGCAACTTTAGTTATTTTCATTTAACTATGCATGTATTTATCTATAAATATAGATGCCTGTATATGTGTAAACTAGTATCAAAAATTAGTAGAAACGACACTTAAACTAACAAAGAAAATTATCGAAAAAATATATATATATTCAAGTACCGTATGTATGTATAAAATAAAAGCCAACAACAACTTAGCACGCGAGTAGAAGACGTTGACGATTTCGTCATGAAAATGCGTTATGGGATCATGGGATAGGATAGATCGTGTGCGGGCTATATACACCTCCCACGATCGGACGTTAGAATGTGTTTAAGTATGCGTGTATGTAAATAGTATATGTGCGTTGATAAGGACAACAATAAATTATAATCGACAATAATGTGAGGTTTTTTGTGCCATTTGATGGCGTTTCATTTTCTTTTTTTCTTCCTTTTTGTGTTTTTAGTTTTTAGTGTGCACTTGTTTATAATATTGTTCAATTTGCTTTTAGTTTCGATGTTGCTTTCTCATGGTTTCATTTATAAAATATCAGGTTCTGCTATGACCAATGATCGCTATAGCGCTGTAGTGTCTATACAATCCAGTGTATATATATATATATATAGAGGGCTGTGTGTGTGTGTGAGGGGCGTATATATAGGATGTGCATCAGAATATACAACTAACTTCCCGGCTTCCCCTTCCCGCCTCAATCAATGTTTAGCTTCCGAAAGGTGCCCTGGGTGGACGCGCTGGTGGCCACAGGAGCTGCTGCCTCGCTCGCCTCCCGCAGCTTCTCGTCAACGCCGTATTGCTCGTCCTCCTTGAAGTAATCACCAAAGCTGTTTAACTGGTTCTCGTACCGCGACATGGCATCAGGCAGTGTGCCATTATTGCCGCCCATTTCGGCAGGAAGATACTCCTGGCCGATGGCCTTTTTCAGGGAGTCCAGATTCGGGTGAATGTGCAACTAAAGAAGGCAATAGAGAGTTAGTTGCTCGAGTGAATAGCTGAGCATCTCCTACTTACCAGTTCCTTCTGTTTCATCACATTCCGCACCAAACCCAAGACAAACTGCGTTTCCCTAGAGGCGTTCACGATGTGGGTGGCCACTAAATTCGTGGGTAAGCCATGCTCCAAAAAGGCATTCATCCTCCTGAACATGCCGGCATCGAACTGCAGCAGCAGGGAGTAGGGAATTTTGGTAAAATCAAGAATCTCCACCACACCGGCAATATTCCAGTTGTCGTCCGTGTTGATCTCGATTTCGGCGCGGAAGGCATGGAAGCGGAAAATGTCGCTGACGCTGTACTTGGAAGTCTCGATGTGGCCCATGCGTGTGAAATGGATGCGGGGGCCGCCAGGGCCAATGGGGTTTGGTAATGTGGCGAAGATTCTATAAAAAGGATTCTAAAATTAGTATCCAGAGAACAGTTAACAAGGACATATAACTCACCCTGAACGGGTCAGTTCGAGCAGCTTATCGTCCACCAGGCGACTCTTTAGTAGCTCACGCTCCTTGGTCTTGTATGTGTAGTAGAAGAGCAGCCGCTTCTTGGCCTCCTCCAAGTCCCAGCGGCAGAAGCGCAGGAAGGCCACCAGGAACTGGTCGTCGGTTCGTGCCGTAAGGTAGTCTACCTCATTGATCCAGGTGCGCAGAGCCTCGATCTTCACCACCACCTCGGAATCCACCTCGTTTAGCTGCGTTCGAGCCACCTCGGCCAGCTCCGGCACCAGCGGTCGTATATTGGCCATGGTCACAGGGGATCTGCAAAACGATCGAAATTTTGAAGAGAGACGATGCCAAAGGTTGCCAGCGGGTGTCGCTCGAGGCAAGAGAGATGTCTGTGTGTGTGCCCTAGCCAGGTGCGACTACACGACTAAACGAAATGTCGTTGCCTGCCTGGACTGAGACTGTCCATAGGGGTATATTGATTCCGATTCGGAGTGAGAGCCCTCTCGATAACGACGAAGCGCACATTGGTACGAAAGAACCCAGCAAAAGGCTTCCTCCCACATCTGGCAAACTCACAGTGAGCAAACATTTTGCAGCTTTATCAGTGGGCGATAGTGACAAACACAAATAGAAATGTTTTACAGATATGATAGCTACATATGTGGCTAGGTCTAGTTGACCTTAAAACTGTACAAATTGCTAGGGATTAGGAGTTAATCTTAAGGTACTAAAAATTGATACCAATTAAATATTATTAAAGGTATAAAACATCATTATGTTACAGAAAATGGTCTAAAAAAAGGTACATTTCTGGTTTCCGCTGACTTCTACTTGCGCCATGAATCCTGACTTGGGAATTTTAGTACAAAAGAAAGCAAAGGTTCTTCAGATCTTTCGGCTTTGTTCAGTTCTCTCTCTCTATCTCTCTCTTTTCAAATTGATGTTAATATCACCAAGAACATACTAATTAATATAAGAGTAACAGAGAATTTTTCCTGATCTTAAATTATACACAAAATATCCTTATTTAATAGAGTCTCAGAGGAAAATGTTAAATAGTGCCATGACAAAAATAAAACCACTTGAAAAGAAAAAAGAAATGAACACTAAATACCCTTAATTGGGTAACTCCAACCAACTGTGCTTTCCCGATCCGACGATAAGATATAGACTGTTTGAACTATGGCGTGGTTCGAACCCCAAAACGCTCCCCAAAATAAGTAGCAGCAGCTGCACACTCATATATTCGCCACCGATGCAGGCGCTTCGCAATCTTATCTCCCGGCGAGAGACTTCACCCACCCCCACTTTGGATCAGATGGGGCATCCGGCCAAGAGAGACACAGAGAGAGCGGCGGGAGCGGCCACTATCAGTCCAAACGAACGGCCATAAAGTGCCAGCAGATTAGCATTTGACGGTTACGTTTCGGCTTGGGATTGGGGCAGGCGAGTGATTAGGTAAAGCGGTTAGTAGCCATCCAGCTGCCACGAAGCCAACGACTTCCCAGCCATGATGCCCGATTTGCGTCCGTTGAGCCCCGAGCTTCGTAGCATTGCCGCAGAGGAGCTGAACGAGGTGGAGGAGCGAGTGCCCGCTGATCTGGCAGCTCTGCGGGATTGGCTGGCCAAGCAGCCTTATCTGAAGGCCCGGCAGGATGACCAGTTTCTGGTTGGATTTTTGCGAGGCTGCAAATTCAGCCTGGAGAAGACCAAGTCCAAGTTGGATCACTTTTACACCATCAAAACACTAATGCCGGAACTCTTTGGCAGTCGAGGAGTAGATGAAAAAAACTTGACCCTGCTGCGAACGGGGTAAGTTAAGGTGGCTGCTAAAATGTTCAAAGATTCATCAACAAACTCTCTGCCAGAACCTATGTACGTCTGCCCAAGCCCTGGGGACCCGGCGGCCCACGACTTCAGCTCACAAACTATGAGAAATTCGATCCCAAGCAGTTCAAGCTGCTGGACCTCTTCCGCTACCAGACTATGATGTCGGAACAGGCCATTCGCGAGGATGACAACAGCAACATCAGCGGGTATGTCGAGATCATCGACATGGCCAAACTGAGCCTGAGCTTCCTGGCTCAACTCGACTTTACGCTCATCAAAAGGATGGGCGTTTTCGCGGAGAAGGCTCAGCCCACCCGCTTAAAGGGAGTCCACCTGATCAACTGCCCCAAGGAAGGGGTGGCGCTACTGAATCTGGCCAAGAGCCTCATGCCCAGCAAGCTCCAGCAACGGGTGAGTGTCGAATAGTAGCTATGAATAGCCCGTCGGATAGTTGGAGACGCTTTTGCTAATTTATTTTCGCCCCCTTATCGGCCACTTCACGGTGATTATCAGGCAGTCTGGTTGGGAGATGATAACAGCTCTGAAGAGCTCTATTGTCGCTCTCTCACCCTTGAACTATATTAATTAATATTTCATAAATCAAAGCAATTAACTTTTGAGAAGTGCAACGGGTGAAAAAAAAGTGACTAAGGTCAGTTGCCTGAGCACATGGGCTCTTATCGTTGAAGCGTTCCACAGAGAAATACATAAAGGCAAAGCGTCAGGAAAGAAAGATATATCAGGCAGTCACTATCAACACGTTGGCTTTATCTTTTTTCACGTTTGGATGGATGGATGACTAACGCTTTTGTTTTCTTTACAGTTTCACGTGTACAAAAATCTGGAGCAATTGAGCCAGGTGATACCAATTGAATATCTGCCAGAGGAGTACGGAGGCAGTAACGGACGCATTGCTGACATCCAGGCGGAGGCTGAAAAGCAATTGTTATCCTACAAGGAATATTTTGCAGAGGACTCACAATACGGAGTGGATGAGCGGCTACGACCGGGGAAACGAGTGGACGCGGACTCCATTTTCGGAGTGGAAGGCTCGTTCCGCAAGCTTGACATTGACTAGTGGAACAAGGATTTAAATTAAATTTTTTAAATGTATTGAAATGAGGAGAATAGTCTCAATTAAAAGCCAGATATAGTGCCTGAAAACACTTACTTAAAATCATGAGAATTACCGGTAGAAGGGTGGCAGCGTTAACTATTTTGTACGTCTGTCCGTTTCTACGCAAACAAATCCCTTAGTTTTAAAGCTATCTGAATGAAACTTTGCAAATAGTCTTCCGACTAATCTATAAGCACTTAAAGCATTACCTTTATCTTAAATATTCACTGGGTGCAGCTAGAATTGAGCCCTGAATCCAGCAGAATAGTTTTTATAACAATGCGCTTTAAGCTCGCTAAAACTAGATTAAGCCAATAAATACCGAGACAAATTAACTTACAACCGTTCAGTTTAAATTTAAAATATAGTCTCGACTATTGCATATCTAAATATTTATGTTGAGCACATTTTAAAATCTGTAGACTGCAAAATGGATTCGATCCGTATATGCATCTCAACGAGGGAGAGGAAGAGCTCCAAGCAGCACCAAATTAGCATTTCACGGTCACGTTTCCGCTTGGAAACGTGGCTTGTTCTAAAGTAAAGCGGTTAATATCCATCCAACTCCCACTAAGCCATAATGCCCAATTTGCGTCCTATAAACAACGAGCTCCGTCGCATTGCCGCAGCAGAGCTGAACGAGGTGGAGGAGCGAGTGGCCGCCGATTTGGAGGCTCTGCGGGATTGGCTGGCCAAGCAGCCTTATCTGAAGGCACGGCAGGATGCCCAGTTTCTGATAGGGTTTCTGCGAGGCTGCAAATTCAGCCTGGAGAAGGCCAAGTCCAAGTTGGATCACTTTTATACCATCAAGACGCTGATGCCGGAGCTCTTTGGCAACCGAGTGGTGGATGACAAAAACTTGGCCATATTGCAAACGGGGTAAGTTGAGGTGAGCTTCAAAGATTTAATATGTTCCAAAAATATCGCTTCAAGCACCTATCTACGACTGCCCAAGCCTTGGGGACCCGGAGGCCCTCGTATTCAGATTACAAACTATGATAGGTTTGATCCCAAGCAGTTCAAGTTAGTGGACTTCTTCCGCTACTGGACTATGACTTTGGAACAGGCCATCAGCGAGGACGACAACAGCAATATAAGCGGGTATATTGAGATCAATGACATGGCCAAAGTGAGCTTCAGCTTCCTGGCTCAAGTCGACTTGAAACTTCTCAAAAGGGTGGGTGTTTTCCTTGACAAGGCACAACCCTCCCGCTTAAAGGGCGTCTACCTGATTAACTGTCCCAAGGAAGGAATGGCTTTAATGAGTCTGGCTAAGAGCCTCATGCCCAGCAAGCTCCAGCAAAGGGTAAGTGTCGAATAGTGAGAAAGATTACCACATTATCAGGAAGATAGTTGGCATCATCTGCCAACATACTGAGAAATCAAAACCATGAACTTTAGAAAAGTGTAATGCGTTGGAAAAATATTGACTAAGATCGGTTTTCCATGTAAATAATAAAAAGATTACAGGAAAACACGTCCAGGAATGAACGATATATCAGCGTCACTATCTACCTGACAGGTTTATCTACCTCTCCTACTGCATGGAAGATGACTAATCCTTTTTCCTTTCCTTCCACAGTTTTACTTTTTCAAGAACCTGGAGGAATTTAGTAAGGTGATACCACTGGAATATCTGCCAAAGGAGTACGGAGGCAGCAATGGTTGTATTTCGGATATCCTGGCGGAGGCTGAAAAACAATTTCTAAGCTACAAGGAATATTTTGCCGAAGACTCACAGTACGGAGTGAATGAGCAACTGCGGCCGGGACAACGTGTGGACGCAGACTCCATTTTCGGGATTGAGGGCTCGTTCCGCAAGCTGGACATTGATTAGGAGGTTCAAATTCAGTTTTATAATTAAAGAAAACAGTCTCAATTAAATGCCCGAAATGCATGTCTAAAACACGCTTACTTGAACTCATGAGAATCGCAGAGAGAGACGCAACAGATGGTTAAATCGCAATTCCATTAGCTTTTAGCGGTTACTATCTGTGACACCTGTTAATGGCTTTGTCAATCAGCAAAGTCGACTTATGTGGGATCAGTTTTCGGTCATGTCAATTTGCTCCAGGCAAAGGCAGTTCCTCTGCGGAAGCCAACGGAGCAGGAAGCCAGCAACATGGCCACATTCTCGTCCAGCGATGAAGTTAGTAACAGTATTAGTCCCCTCCTTCAGTTTGACTTTAGCAAGTGGGACTTTCCCGAGGAACGCATCTGGCTGCATAAGCCTAATGGCGAAATCACCTGGAAAATCATCACTTTCCTGCCCCTAATTGCCTTTGGTCTGTATGGAAACTTCACCATGGTGTATCTGATAGCCGCCAATCGATCCTTGAGATCGCCCACTAACCTAATTATTGCCAACATGGCTGTGGCCGACCTGCTAACGCTGGCCATCTGCCCGGCTATGTTTATGGTGAACGACTTCTATCAGAACTACCAGCTGGGCTGCGTTGGCTGCAAGCTAGAGGGATTCCTGGTGGTGGTTTTCCTTATCACAGCCGTACTCAATCTCTCGGTGGTCAGCTACGACCGTCTCACGGCCATAGTGCTGCCCATGGAGACCCGCCTGACTGTTAGAGGAGCCCAGATTGTAGTGGTCTGCACCTGGATTCTGGGTATTCTCCTGGCATCACCCTTGGCTTTGTACAGAGGCTATAGAGTGCGAGTTTGGAAGAACTTTACGGAGCGGTATTGCAAGGAGAACACCAGCATTCTGCCAAAGTACTGGTATGTGCTTATAACCATTCTGGTGTGGCTGCCACTTGGCATAATGCTGATCTGCTACATAGCCATATTTTACAAGGTAAGTGGGAGAAAGTAAAGCGATAAACGATTTAACTATAATATATATACTTAAATCCAGCTCGATAGGTATGAAAAGCGCGTCCTGAGCCGCGAGAACCCGCTCCAAGTGAGCTACAAACGCAGCGTGGCCAAAACCTTATTCATTGTCGTCGTGGTTTTTGCTGTGCTCCGTCTACCCTTTACCATTCTGGTAGTTCTCCGGGAGAAGTACTACGCCGAGGATATCTCAGTGAGCAGTGGAATGCAACTTTTCTGGTACATCTCTCAGTATCTGATGTTCCTCAATGCCGCCGTCAATCCGCTCATCTATGGCTTCAACAATGAGAACTTTAGGCGAGCCTACTACCAAATATCCTGGGTTCGACGCTGCAGAGAGGCGGCCAAAATGAAGAAGAGTTCTGATACATCACAGCATTGTTGCTACTGTGCCTTTATGAAGAAGGGTAAATCTGTGAAGAAGCCGCAAGGAACAACTCAGTCGCCAGAGAATGTCGACAAGGGTGAGAGTCTGGAGTTCACCACTGAGGGGCCAACGACTGCCTGTTCAACGGAGAGGATTCGTGAGGATCAGGGGGATATGCAGGTGCCGGAAGTCGATGCAGATGGTTTTATTTAGACTTTGGGTGTTTTTAGACTCATAGTGATCTCTCTCAGGCAATTAGCTTTCTATAACCTATAGCATACAAAATACCACTAATTTTTGGCCTTTTAAAAGCTGCCTTTTAAATCAGGTTCAAGCTCCCAAACAGCTGATTTTAAATCTGCTCTAAAGCTTTAGGAACCGTTTGAAAATTTCTAACTTATAGTAAAAACTAATCTTTCAACACGTGGCAGAGTTTATGTTATCTTTCTCGTTTGGTATCGTTTACCCCTTAATAAATATATGTATAATGTGTTGCTTATTGTTTATATTAATCTTCGCGGGAGCATTTGCTCAAGGAAATAGCTTCGAAGTGCATTTCGAAGAGACCTATCCCACTCATCACCTCAGCTCGGATCAGGACTCGATGCTACACAAACGGGCAGCGGATGTGCCTCAGTTCTTTGATCAAGGTTTTTTTAAAATCAAATAACAAAGTTTATTTACATTCAAATTTTTAGAGAGCCAGTCGCATTCCCCTCAAGCTAAACCAAACAATTCAGACTTCATGTAGCCCACGCCATGCTCCTCAAGGAATCGTATAAACTGTCCCATGTTCATCACTCCCTCCTCGGCGTTAAAGAGCTGTTCACTGAAATCCTGGAATACCCGCTTGCGCTGTCGCGACTCCGTACGCACCATGCTGATCTTTTGCCAGCGTAAAGCCTTAATGCTGCGCCAGAACTCCTGGACATTCTCCGGTTCACCCTCGACGCATATGATGCCGGGTTTGCCGGGTCGACTGAAGCCAGTCAGCTCCAACTGACGGGCCTGGCGTACCAACTCCTGCCGCTTGGCTGTAGACTTTATGTGGTGCGAATAGATCCACAGGCGCTCGAGATGGACAGCCGCTGGTGTTAAGGGCTCTTGGGCTTCTGGCGGCTCCACAAACTCTTCGGCTGGGCGTTTTATTAAATCCTCGATCTGATCCTGCAGCCAACTTAGCAGCTGGAAAATATACGGCTCTGCATCCTCTACCCGCTCTTCGCTCTGATATTGTTCTATATCGGTCTTTAGGCGCTGTTCTCGGGATTTTCCCAGCAAAGGACTGTGAACACTGACCCTAGCCTGCTCCAAAAGCGGATATAGATGGGGTAGTTCCACTCGGACTTCCACGCTTTGCTTGGCGGGCAAACTTAGTTTCACTAGGTACTCCAGATGCGACCTTAGATCAGCGGGGGGCCTGTCCTTATCCTCTTGAAGGAACTCATTGAAATCGGCCACGACCCCGGCATCGAGCATCTGCAGCTCCCCGGGAGCACAGTAAATGGAGCTCAGCAAGTCCAGCTCCTCCAGCTGCTGGCCAATGCAGCGGCGATAGGTTAGCAGCTCCTCCTGGGCCATGGCTGACGGAGAGTTAGAGAGAATTGTTTGGTTTAGTCAGCGGGCGGCGCTTTGTTTACGATCCTATCCCAGAGATATGGCGGGGCTAAAGAACAAACAAGCGGAGGATGACATGTACACTGAGGGATCTAAGGGATTCAGGATCTGGAACCACTAAAAACGCTTTAAATATGATGTTTCTTCCCATTTTCTTCCCTTTTTAACCCAATTCACAGCCAGCTTTAGCTTCGATGGCTTAACCCGAGTGGCCTCTGTGCCCGTGCCCTTTCCCTTGGACATTTGCATCTTACAATTGCCCACGGTCAAGTATGCCACATCCCTGCACAAGAATGTGGCTGGAGTGCGTCACTTTGCCGTCTATGAATGGCGTCCTGCCGACCAGGCTTACCAACTGCTGGTCCAACTACCCGCACCGAAGGCGATAGCCCTCGACTGCCTAGCCTTTGCTGGGCGCGGCTACGTGGCCCTGAGCTACAATCTAACCGAGCCCGTAAATCAAGCCCGCGAGGGTTCCCCCATCTACGAGCTCTCCCCGGAGACGGGAATTCGGACAGTTCAGTACTTTTCTGGAACCCAGCTGCGAGGCATGTATCTGCGGATCAGCAGCCAGGAGCTGACTCTTCTGCAGGCTTTTGACTCGGCAGCACAGTGTCCCTACTTCAAGTGGATGGGTCGAAGTTTCCAGCGTCTGGGATCAATTCCCTGCAGCAATGCCCGCCGGTTAGAGGCCTTTGGCGTAGACTATACCGACTATGTGGCTGTGGCCAACTATGCGGATGCCGAGGGACGAACCACCACCCATTCGGAAATCTTTAGGTACGACGCCAAGACACAGAAGTTTCAGCTTTTCCAGCGACTGCGCAGCAATGGAGCCGTCGATGTGAAGTATTTCAGTTTGCCAGTGAACGAGGTTAGCAGGCGACATTTCCTGATTCTGGGCAACACTATTGGTGGAGCCAACGGCGAGGCGGACACCGTAATATATGTGTTTGAAAAGGGCCAGTTTGTGCCCTATCAGCGGCTGAGTTTCTTTGCTCTGGAACGGGTTCTGCCAGTTCAGGTAAAGGAATATTATTATTAAAAATGATGACTTTTCCTTAATTACTCTTCTTTCTTAGCATTCTGTGTCTGAGAAGTTTCTGCTCCTGGTGGCCTGCAACAAGCAGGACGTCAAGATCTTCAACCTCAATGATTGGAGGTTCGAAGAGTCCAAGGTTCAGTTTACAGAAGGTGCCATGAGCCGCGGCGTTGCCAGAATGAGAAGTTATGAGGAGGGGCCACAGAGCTTTTTAGGTGAGCAGTGTCTTTGGGTTATCTTGGGTTTCCCATTAAAGATTTGAGTTTATTTTAGTTATTTCTAATGAAAACATGGCCGCCAATGAGACGAACATCTTCCAGCCTCTGTTCAAACAGGACGAGCATGCCAATATACTTCGACAGCAAATTATTGACTGGGCTCGGGAGCAGAGAAAGCGGTTGGAGCGGGTGAATATAGAGGAGCTACTACAGAGGTTACAGGTAAGCGGAGTCAGCTTAAGATTCATAAAGTAAGAGATCCATTTTTTCTCGTGCAGGTAAAGCAAAAGAAACGTCAAGAGAAACTTCAGACGGCGCACATTAAAAAAGTGAAAGCCAAATCGGTAAGAGAACTAAAACAAAATTTTAAAAAGCAACCCAATCCCAAAATATTACACCTGCAGTTTGAGGATCACGACATGCACCTGACTCCTAAGTACTGGAAAGCCTTGCAGTTGGCCAACCAAGCTCTGGATATTATAGAACACAAAGCTGACACAGCCATCACTAGACATCCCGCTAAGAGAGCCGTCAAAGAAACCAAGGAGCAACACAATTTCGAAGAGGTCATCGTAGACACTCTGGTGGTGCACGGATCCGTTCAAGCAGATCGTATCAATGGAGTTGATACCAAGAACCCTGTTTACGAGTCCGTCACAGCCAACAAAGTATACGTGAGTGAAAAGTACACAGAACCAGCTAGAAAACAAAAGAAGCCGCTTCTCGAAGAGCTGACTGTAAAAGACCTTAAACTGGAGGGCAGGCTGAATGGCCTTAGGTGGAAAGATCTCTTGGAGCAGACGCTAAAACGCAGCGACACGGATGTGCAGTTCATCAAGGCCATAGCGGAGATCACAAATCTGAAGACCGATGCTGCACAGATAAACGGCAATGAGGTCAGTGATCGACCGCTGGGTCACCTCATCCCAGTGGATGGCGGCAACTTTATAGTTCAGCAGGATGTGCAGTTCGCCCAGCCCGTCCAGGTGAACCGATTGCTCATCAATCAGCGTCTCAATCACATACATGTAGATCGCCAGCGCTTTGATGTGTTACTTAGGCAGGCGAATTACACCCAGGTTATTCAGGGATCAAAGAGATTCGAGAATATACGGGTTCTGGAGCCAATTACCATTGCGGTGGGTAGCTTAAAGGCATTCCAAAATCAGCCATATATAGTCTCGTTCCATCCATTCTAGGGTCCCATGAGCGGAGCTGAACTAAGAGCCATGTCACCGGCAAAGGTAACTCATCAGCCGCTGCAACTTCAAGGGGATTTCGTAATAGATGGCGATGTTACCATTGGAAGATTGCTGCAAATGAGGGATTTGGTGGATGAACCCACTCAAAGATCAGCAGCGGAAGTCTTAGCTCGCAGTTTGCGGCTGGATAAGCCCCTGGAGAATGTTAATCTCAACTTTTTGGAGCCCCTTAGGGCCAACAATACAGAGCTAAGCTTCCTCAACACCCGAGACTTGCAGAATCTGGTTAAGCTAAATGTGGATGAAGTGCAGGTGGTGGAGGGTATGAAGGTGTTTCCCCAAAACCTTCAGATCAGCGAGGGCTTTGGCGAAGTCAAGTGGCTGAATGGCATCGATGTGGAGAAGCTGCCGGAAACCTTGCTAACCAAGAGTGGCAACCAAACTATTTTTACACCAATAGAGTTGCAGGGAGTGGAAGTGGAGCAAGTGAATACATCCCAGATAGCATTAAATGGCTTGGGGCTAGAGGAATACCTTCAAGTTAGTGGGGATCAGCAATCGAAAGCCTCCCTGTTTGTAGGCTACTTGGATGCTGGGGAATTGAGTCTGGAGGATCTCCACCTAAATGGGCTGCTCTTTGGCCAACCTCTGTCCTCGATCCTGGCACATGGTAGCCAAAACCTGGACAGCTGGCATCTGCCGCCCCATTTTAATGGCACCATTTATGCCCAGAATCTTTGGCTCAGCGGAACCATTAACCAGGTGAGTGTGACCCACTTGGAGCAGCAGTTGCAGCAGCTGGCAGGCAACATAAAGTACGTGGGTGACTTTAACTTTGGCCACCCGGTGAATATAAGTTCTCTAAGCTTTGGCAATGCCCTAAATGGCATCCCAGCGACTCAATTTGGCAGCTCTTGGCTGGAGTCCGAGGGAGATCAGAACTTTACGGCTCCCCAGGAGCTGGCATCACTGGAGAGCAAAAAAGGTGTTTGGCTGAAGGGGCAACTCAACAATTATACCCTGGATGATCTGGTCAACCGTAGCTACAGGCTCAATGCCTCGGAGCACCTAAAGGCAGTGCGATTTGGTAAGCTTTTCCTTGGAAATTTCTTGGCTAAGTAACTTTTGATATGTATCCCACAGAAAATCCCATTCTCTTGCAATCGGAGCTCCAAGTGGGTCTCTTAAATGGGCTGCGCGTGCCGGAGGATGTGCTTTACCAGAATACTAATGGAGGTTACCTCTCCACTCCCGTTGGCATTGAGGGCAATCTAGAGGCTTCGGACTTGTGCAATATATCCACGTTAAATGGCTATCCTTTGGACAAGCTAAACAACTATTTAAATGACCAACATCTGGACACTTTTCTGGCTGAGAATGTAAACTTTTCCACGGCCCCCACTTACAAACTGCTGAATGGTCACAAGCTGGACAATCTCTTGGACCAAGTGTGGCTGGACAATGAGGATGTAGAGCTCAGTGGAGTCCAACTGGAGACGGGCAACTTTGAAGGCCTGCTGGAGTTCCAGGTAAAGAATGCATACCCTATGATCTTCCAAAGTAAATAATACTGCGTTTCACAGGGACCCATCAACGGGCGTCAGGTGGAGCACATCAGGCGACACTACCTCAGCCGGACGCGCGGCCAGCAAGTGAAAACTCCCCTCAGCTTCCAGCATGACGTCACGTTCGCACAGCCTCCGACGGCGAACGTTGTGGAACTACGTGGCAATGCCGCCAGCGACAGTGCCGTACTTGTGGAGGGCACCAGCACCAGCACCGGGTATGTTCATTTGGTCGAGGGCAAAGGGCAAAGAGTAAACGAAGGGGTAAATGGGGTATCACGTTTCACTTTTGCAATTGTTTACGCGCTAACAGTTTGAGAGGCACTGCACGCGCACAGTCAGCTGTGCGTTGTGTTCGCAGGTGAAATTTCTGTACACGTTTGCTACTTAACACGCGATTGGGTAAGCAAGGTAGGAGAGGCACTATCAAAGCACTCGATGCGGCTGACAGGTGGCACAATTACCTGGTATTTTGGTCGCTGATTGGGTTTGGTTAAATGCACTTTTTACGGTCGGGCAGTTACGGGAGATTGGTTGGATTGTTGTCGAGTGTGACCGCAACGCCAGCGTCGGAATATACCATGGGGGATTTACGAGAATTGGATAGTATTTTTATATTTTGGTAGTTTTTGGTATTTATATTTTTAAAATTTTGAAATTGTTTTTGAAAAAAGGAAAGGATAAACAAATATTGTTTTTGAATGATAAAAATATATCTTGATTTTATATTTTCTTTAGCAACTTTTCTTTGAACTTTGATGATTTTGTGGCAAACTCTTTAAAAACCGCCGGACCCCATACTATTAGCGGAAAATGGACCCTGCCGGAAGCCTTAGTTTCCGGAAATTTAAACAAAGTCATTGTTAATCAACTTAATTTAGCTGCAGATGTTCTTAGGATTAGCAAAGATAATGCTTCTTATCCAACGATCCTTGAGGCCCCTAAAACCGTTGATAGCGCCAGTTTAAATCGCCTCTATGTCACGCCAGATAGTCAGGTGGCAGAGGTCCCCATGGCCAAGTGGATCAACGAGGCGGCCTATATCTATGGAAATCACAGCATAGCGGGAGTAACTCATCTGGAAAACGTCAATCTTTACAATGATCTTCGTGTCAAAGGACCCGTAAATGGTGTTCTTTGGCATCCGGATAAACTCCTACTGCGCGACAAAGACCAAGAGATGCAGGGATCCCTGTTGGTGGCCAACAGTCTACCGGAGCAGCAACGAATCTTTACAAACAATGTAGAGAATCTCCAAGTGGACTTTGTCAATGGACTGCCAGTGAACGAATTGTTGGTCAACAAGGCTCAAAACCGACCGAATCTCCACGTAGAGAGTCAACTGGTCTTCACCCAGCCGCTAACCGTGGGCCATTACGAGCTGGGGAACGGGATAGGTCCGTCGGATAAATATTTCAAAAGGAAACGGGAGGTGGACTCGAATTCTGTAGATTTCCAGCAGCTGCAGGAAAACGTGGATGCTGTGAAGAATAGATTGGCTAGTAAGTAAAGTTAATATTTAATTATTATATCGAATGAAAACCGTTTAACTTACGCCACAGAGCCCCCGAAAGTCCTGGAGAACTTTGCCCTAGTGCAGCAGCTACCCCATAACGTGGATCATCTTCAGGTATATCCCTCCGGAAGCCATGATATACTGGCCATCAGCGAGAGGGATTCCAACAAAGTTATCTCCTATGCCTGGCATCCGGATAAACACCGATTCGTGACCGTTTCAAGTAAGTTATGTAGCTTTATTTGCATATGAACATATATTTTAAAATGAAGTGACACATGGGAATTTTAATTAAAAATTAGGATTAAACCTACAACTATATTTAAAATATACTGCGTTGTGGCGGCATCCGCAGAGTCAGCTTTAGATCCATTCGAAACCCAATATGACCGATCATATTGAGCAGAACAGATTTCAAATACGTTGTGTGGCGCCACAACACAGATGTTTTAAACACAAATACACAGTAACGCAGCGATTTCGGGAAACTGTATAAGCAGGACTACATAACTACCATTAAAGTTCGTCTAATGTGTAATGTGTAAGCTGAGTAATCATCAAGGGTTGCCTAGATTTGAATTAATCTTAAGCTTTTGCTAAGCTAATGCTCCATCTCGTCGGTGTGCGCATCGAGGATGGCCCGCAAGATGCTCAGCTCCAGCTTGGCGGAGGCCCGCGACGACAGTCGGTTCATCACATTGGCCACGTACAGACCAAGGGATTCGTGGCGCGACGAGTTGCACAGATTCTTGAAGAAGGTCGGCGGCAGCATATTGTCAAAATTGCCAAAGTTGATAATCTCAGGTGTGTTGGAGGTGGCGGCATTTAGCTTCGAATCGAAGATGATGTCGTTCTTAAAGTCCAGATCGTCAATGTGCGGCGAAAAGCCATTGGTGGAAGCCACCGAAGTGGAGGCAACAGTGGCGGCCGTCGACGATGTGGGTCCACCGACACCACCGCCATTTATTTGCTGAGACGACGGAATGGTGATGATATTAATGCCTGGCGGCGGAGTCTGGTTGCTCTCGCGTTCCTTCTTCACTTGCATCAGCTGGGCGGTGGTTGTGTGCACCACGCTGGCATTCGGCACAGCCTCTGAAACGCTGACACTTGGCGGAAGGGGAGCTGGAGCTGGCGGAGCAACCTGTTTGGGACTGGTCGTCTTTGGCTGCTTCTTTTGTGTGGGCAAAGGGTATTCCTCGGAGAGCTTGCGCTTAAGGGAATCGGGCAACTGAATGGTAGTACGTGAGGCCGACCTGAGGCCACTGCTATGTGGCGGTTGCCCTGGTATGGATTTCTGTCCAGCCACAGCCGAGCTAGGAGTCTTCTTTACGGTGATGCCCTTCTTTTGGAGTACAGCAGCGGCGGCGGAAACCGAGCTGTTTGTCGTGGCTCGCGGAGTGTTGTTGGCCAGCGTGTTGAGCAGCTTCTTCTCCTCGAAAGCCGGACGCGGTGTGTCCACAATAGGCTTGGTGGGCAAGCGCTCCTCTTTCTCGGGCGAGCTGGTGCCGTGCGACTTTGTGGGGCTCTCGCCGTCGGAAGAGGCCGAGCCCGTGGAGTTGGCCGGCTGTCCGAACGGTATGTTGTCTGGATGTTCCTCTTCCTCCTCCTGCTCCTGAACCTCCAGCATTTCGTACTCTTCCACCTCGTCCATGGCTCCTTGCTCGCTGAAAAATAGAGAAAGTTATAACCATCTGCCAGCTAAGCAAATCGCCAAGCACTTACTCCTCCTCCTTGATTGACACCTTGGGCTCCTGGTGGATCTGGTCCATCAGGCCAAAGAGCTTCCACGCCGAGTTGCCCTTTAGCTTCTCCTGCTCATACTTCTTCTGCAGCACGATAAAGATGGAGCGCGACTCGTGCACGGAGAGCTTGTTGAGGCGTCCGATCCTGGCCCAAGCCTCCTCCTGCTCCTGCTTGGTCGAGCCGCCATTGTTGGGATGCAGGGCCTTCTCTTTGGCGATATGCGCAAGAATCTTATCCAACTGAATTGCCATCTTCGTCAGCGACTTGCGGCCCGCTGGTTGCTCGTTCCTATTAATCTTGAAGGCTGTTTTATTTACACGACGAACAACGAGAAATATTGTTTGTTGCAGCCGCCTTTTTTCGCTTGGTTTTCGTCCTCCGTTTTGCACCTTTCGCTTTGCTGATACAGACGCCGATTTGGCGGAAAATGTGACCGTGCGACGCGAAAATACCACAAATGCCGTGCCTGAGTACAGTAGAGACAAGGTTGTAAAGGTCACTTAAAACACTAAAATTATTCATAATCAATTATATGATATTTAAACTAATAGGTGTAGGTGTGTCTTGGCAATTATATATGTTTTTTAAGAATACAGTAAACAAACATGTAAAATTAAATCGTTGTGTAACTCTCTGAAAAAGCAATTATTTTTTTTTTTAGTGTAACCCTATTTTTGATATTTAATTGTTCACACCGTTATCCAACACTGATGTAGAGTAAATAAATATAAAATTAAATTAGTTTTATTGCTTGCCTTTTTCCGCTTAATTACAAAGGTACTATAGTCACTATTTCCTGCGGCGGTATGCATTTAACCTTTTCCAAACGCGTTTGGTTATCCGGCTTTGCCGGACTGCTGACCACAAAGGGGAACTCCTTCAGTCCGTAGCAGGCAGCGGCATAATTTCCCAGGCGATCCACGGCTATCACGGCGCCCATGAATTCCTTGTAATGCTTTAAGATCCGCCGGATGCCTACTTCGGCGGCTGCCGCCGGACTCTTTCCTTGCCTCATGGCCTCCACAGCGAGGAGGGAGGGCAGGAACCGCATCATTATATCGCCATCTCCAGTGGCCACTGCGGCACCCACCTCATTATCAGCGTAGGCACCGGCTCCCGGTATTGGCGAGTCGCCAACGCGTCCGGGAATCTTGTGACGCGCCCCATTGGTGGACGTGGCCGCATGAATATTGCTCTCCACATCAATGGCGATCATACCGATGGTGTCGTGGTTCTTGCGCCCAATCTCGTACTCGGTCCGGGCTCGATCCTCCTTCCAGCGGGTCAGGGGCGACGGCTGGGGACTGTACGGCCCACAGGAAACCCTGGGATCGGGGTGCACGCTTCGCCAGAAGTTGGGCTGACAGTTCTCCGCTGTCCACTGCAGCCATATGTCCTTGGATTCGGGCGTGGTCAAGGACTCTGACTTGAATCCCATGGCATTGGCAAAGTTTGAGGCTGCGTCGCCCACCAACATGGTGTGCTGCGTATGCTCCAGTACACTTCTGGCCACCTTTACGGCGTCCTTGATGCGCCGCAAGCCGGCCACCGCTCCCACATCCATTGTGCTGCCATCCATAACCATGGCATCCAATGTGGTCTCGCCCATCTCGTCGGGGGAACCGCCATAGCCAACGGTCCGGTCGCACTGTAACTTCTCGCACTTGGAGCAGCCTTCAACCACGGCGTTGCGCGTCTGCCGAAGACCTCCCTTGCTCTGCTTCAGGATTCGCCAGGCAAACGCATTGGCGGGTGTAAAGTTCCAGGTGTTGATCACCATGGGCAGCAGTTCAACAACAGGATGCGGGGCAGCAACGGGAAGCGGATTAGCAACGGGATGCTGGTCAGCAACGGGCTGAACGGAAGTGGGCTTGCTGGTCGTACTGGTCATGCTGGTAGTTCTGTCGATTTCTTTGTTAGTGGAAAAATCCAGTTGAAAACTCTTTCTAAGCTCACGTGAGAATGGTGGCTAGCGTTGGCTTGGCCGACTTTGTCCACTGCGCTCGGCCGGGAGAGGCGGTGAACGCCAGGCAGAATACCCAAATGCATCCTGCTGCGTACAGTTTCATTGTAAATACGTGGATATGTACTCCGCAGTGCTTTGTCTTTTGCAAACTGAAAAATGAGAGGCCGATTACTGCCTTTAAATGCTTTTGGCAGGCTAACCTCAGTTGTTTTCTTATCTGTTTTGTTCTGTTGTTTTGATATATACTCTTGAACAGTCTCTACTGACTTTGTCACTAAACTTGTATTTTTTTTTCTATTAAAAGTTTGCAGAGACCAGTGTATTACTGTATTCTGTATTTTTCTGTATAAATTTACAATAATTTATACAAACTTAAAGCAATAAATACTCAGCCTCACCTAGAGAATTTCACTTTCATTATTTTAGGAGAGTATCCCATAGCTGCATATTTTTAATACAAATAAATTGTTTTTACAGGCTTGTCAACACTGCCACAGCTTCGTAAGCAAGACTCGGAGCGAATTCCACAGGACGACTCATTCTCTGCGATAAAGAGACTACAGCTTAGCCTGTTCACATTCCAATGTGTGGGGCTTCAAGAAGCGGAGAACATGGTAATCGAATGCCTGGACAAGCACAACAATAGCCGAAAAGCCATTATAATTGCCAGACGAAATGCCAAACAGTTGCTAGCAGTGGCCAATGATTCAGATGATACGTCCATTCTGCTGAGAACCTCAAAGGCTGTGGAGCTATGGAAATGGAGCAACGGCAATTACTCTTTGGTGAGGAGCCTTCTGGACGGGCAGCAGGTGGAGCACATGACGCTGATGCAACGTGGACCCGGTATGGAGAGCGGTTTCTTGGCGATAGTGGCTTCAGCAGAGATTCGGATTTACAGGTAAGGATCATTGAGCGCACCTAAATAGTTATTAAACTGATCTGAATCATTCCACAGGTTCCACAGCGACGACTTTCAGCTAGATCAAGTCTTGGAGCTTCAAGACACCCATCAGGCGCGAAAAGTGCGCTTTATGCACTTGCCAGAGTCCGAGGATCTGCTGCTGTGCGTTTCCAATCAACCACATCAACCGCTCACCATTTACCAGCATCGCGGAGCCGCAGGATTCCAGAAAATCCTCGGCGATAGTGTCCTGCTTGAGGCTCAATCTTTGGACGTGCTCCAGCTGCCCGTCAATAAGCTGCAACTGCTGTCTGTGGCCACGGCCGAATCAGTATACTTGGTACAACCGCAGTTTACCACACTTTAGGTCACTTATAGTTCACATTGATTCGTTAACACTTGTTTTGTTGTTTTTTTCTAAATAAAAATTTACTTTTTATTAACCGTGTTTATGGGCCTTCAATTACGCTGCTTAGTCGTCGCTGGACTCGACGTTCTCCGTCTGCAAGTTCTTGAACGTAGACACCGGTACGTAGGTGACGTATGTGTACAGCTTGTTGGGAGAGTCCTCATCGTCGTTGCGACGGCGCGCCAGACGCACACGGACGCGGAATGGGGTGGACCTGAAAGAAAAGTATAGGGATTAGGAACAATGCCACCAAGAGCCTAACGTATGTATGTTTGTACGCACCTGATACCCTTGGACCAGATGTGCTTGTTCAGACGGGTGTCGATCCTCACATCGGTGGTGCCCATCTCCCGCTCAGCGAACTTGCGGATCTCCTTGATGGCGCGGGGAGCGCGCTTCTTGAAGCCGATGTTGTGGACACGCTTGGCCAAGTGGATGGTGCACTCGCGGGTCACAACTTCGTTGATCGCCGATTTGTTGATTTTCTCGCCCTTGGTCTTAGTCATTGTGCTGGTTAGGCCGCAACGGTGCTATTCACTGTCCTGCAAGGTTGAAAGTGTCCAATTAATAAAACATTCACAACGTAAACAACAATCTAATCGAGGGAACTTTCGACCGCCGAAAATCACACAGAAAGTCGATCTTTGGGTAAAATGTACATGTAAATTTGCAGTATTTTCGATGGGTAACATAGTGCCAGCCGGCGAATTGCATATTGTTCGTGCGAAAATCGGATGTTTTTCGATTAAATTCAGAAAACCGAAATTACGAACCTCTCCGGATATGAAAAGCTACGAAAAAGAAAGAAGAAGAGGTCGTAGGTGTGACCAGATCAGATTATAAAAATCGGTATTGAGAGAGAGAACGAATGGTCACGCTGGCGGCAAAACATCGATTTATTAAAACTATCGCCTATATGTCCCCGATCCGATATTCGTTTTTTATTTTATAATTTTAATTTTTAAATAAACTTATAAATATGAACCAAAAATTAATTTGGGAAATAAATTTAAAAAAATACATTTCACAAATCTTCGATTTATCGATACTATCGCCTAGCTCAAATGTAAACAAATAAAAATGTGGGAAATTGCAGGTAAACAAAAATTAGCCGAATTAAAGAAGGGATTATATGAATTTGTCTATTTACAGCGCAACTCTTAGCCGTCGGCCTACTTTGGGGCGTCACCAATCCATTTATTCGCCTCGGCAGCCAGGGCATCGAGTCGGTCAAAGATACGGGCTCCAAGTGGAGAAACTTCCTTCAAGAAGCCCGCACCATTGGCTCTCGGTGGCGCTACTGGATACCGTTCGGCCTGAATCAGTGCGGGAGTGCCCTGTACGTATGGACGCTGCAGAGTGCCAGCATCACAGTGGCCGTGCCAGTGGCCAATTCCCTTAGTTTCGCCTTCACTGCGATAACCGGATATGCGCTGGGCGAGAAGCTGCCCGGAAAGAGTAAGCAAACAAAGCAAACCACAATTTAATGATCCTCAAAAACCTCTCAACCTTGTAGAAGTCATCCTGGGCACCTTGCTCATCTGCTGCGGCAGCATTCTCATGATCTATGACAAGGTGCTGCAGGAAGAGGATAACCAGCCACAAAATATAACATTCCAATGAACTTACCCTAAACCAAAAAGGCCAAATTGTCTTTATTGCATTCGATAAAAGCATCATTAAATGAGTGAATGAATGAATGGGAGAGCTGCCGTCGCTGCGCCGCCTATAACGCCTTGTGAACCGCCTCCACCAGTACCTCCATGCTGGTAATCGGGGTCTGCGGCGTGATTCCGTGACCCAGATTGGCGATGTAGCGCGACTTTCCGAACTTGTGCACCATCTCGGTGGTTAGGTCGCGCAGCTCGTCGGCCCCACGATACATGTCCTGGGGATCCAGGTTGCCCTGCAGCGTGATGTTGGGTCCCACCAAATTGCGTGCCTCGATGGGATCCACGGTCCAATCCAGTCCGATGACATCGTAACCTAGTTCGCTCTGCTCCTTTAGCGAGTGTCCGGCACCTTTGGCGAACAGAGTCTGCAGCGAGAAAAATAAACGTAGTTTCAACTTTGCATCATCCAGGTCATACTTACCATGGGCACAACCGGGATCGCTTTCTTGGTCAGGCGGTCCACCAGCTCATCACGTATCCTCTTCAAGTAGGGCACTCCCCACTGCAAGAAATCCTCCTTGGAGAGGTGCTCTGCGGAGGACTCGAAGACCTGGAGCATTTGTGCGCCGGCCTTCACCTGCATCTCCAGATAGTCGACAATGGAATCGGTCAGCAGGCTGAGGAACAGCTTGGAGTCCTCGGGATACTCCGTGAGCCAAGCCTTGGCCTTGGACATGGTCTTGCTGCCGCCGCCCTCAATCATGTAGCCCATGAGCGTCCAGGGCGCCCCGGTAAAACCGATAAGCGGAACTCGGCCCTCCAGCTTATGCCGCATCATTGTGATGGCATCGCCCACGTAACTGAGGCGGGACAAGGCTCCGTCCGGAGTAAGGCGCTTCAGGTCCTCGGGCACTTTGATGGGCTGCGGCAGGACGGGACCCACACCCGCGTGCATCTCCACTGTAATACCAAGGGCCTGTGGGATGACCAGGATGTCCGAGAAGATAATGGAGGCATCAAGATCAAAGCGGCGCAGCGGCTGCATGGTCACCTCGCAGGCCAGCTCCGGTGTGCGGCAGACGGTGAAGAAGTCATGCTGCTTGCGCAGCTCCTGGAACTCTGGAAGATAGCGACCGGCCTGGCGCATAACCCAGACGGGGACGCGATCCACCACTTCGCCGCGTGCGGCTCGCAGCAGGTTGTCATTCTTAAGCACGGGAAAGGGCTGAAAGGGGGTGAACGGAGGGTCGGTGTAATCAGTCTGCACAAGTACCGCCTGCAGCAGCACCCACATCCACATTAACATCAGTCGAAGTCCAACCGAATGGGACATGATGTAACTGTTGAAAGGCCACTTTAAATAACGAGAAAACTTACCTTGGCGTCTTTCATTCTGACAATTAAGTGCCGTACTTGTTAGTGGAAACTGCCGAGGTGCTTTCCGCTGACGATTCCTATCTAATTTGATGAAATATATAACCGAATTCTGCAATCCTGCATGAGTGTGCGTTCTGCCGAACTTTGTTTACGTTTTCAGCTGGCATGGAAGTCAGGCGATAGTTTCACCTATCGATTGGTATCGATTGGTAGACAATGAATTAGTGCAAATATCGGCAAAGTATTGCGTAGTTAGCCGATATTTTCAGCATATTGTATGGAAGCAGTTGTTTCAGTTGCAAATTTTAGAAAACTATCGCCGATATTCTTGGTAATTAGTCAGAAAAATTAACTGAATTCATTGATGTTAACTTCAAATAATATGTATAGGCTAGATAAAATAAAATAAGAACAAACCGATTTTTCTTTACCAGCACAACTATCGTCCCATCGCTAAGTTCTTGCTCATCTCTAACGACTCTGTATAAGCCGCAATTTCTCGGCGCTTCTTAAATATTTTTGCTTTGTTGGATTTGTATTTAATGGTTTGTAATGTCGCCGCCGCCCAAGAAGCCGAAAATGGAAGATAATCGGTGAGTAGAGCAAGTTCGCAGAGCGTTGCAAAAGACTTGATCAAGGTCTTCCTTCCAGGTGCTCACAAAAACCGGTGTCATTTGAGCAATTCAAGAAGATAATAGAAAACCTGCCCGATATATGCTTCAATGTGCAACGCGACGGTGTCGCTGGTAAGGGCGGTAAAACTTTGGATGAGTGCGCCCTTTGGTACTATGAATCCTTCTATAAAGATCCCGAAGTACGCAAGAAATATCCGTACAAACTGAGAGCCTGCCCCATGAACATTAGGACCAAGTTACTCTCAATGCCGGAGCCGGGGCCAGTAGGTGAGCCTCATCAAGCCGCCGAAGGTGTATTGGTCAAAGTGGCAAGGTATGTTTATATATATATATTCCAAAACGTTTCCTTTGCTAATAGCTACACTTATCCCCAGGATGGGTACGTTCACCTTTCCCGTCACATTTTTTGCCTTCAGGAGCTCTGTCAACACAGAGGAGGTGCTCCGTTTAACAGGCATTGCAAAGGAGGAACGGAAGACAATGCTGGGCAATGAAAAGCAATGTGAAGTCGTTTTAAAAAAATTCTACCACTCGTTCTACATGTTCCCCGATCGGCAGTCTACCGCCTTTTTTAAGGACGACATATCCTTGCCGTTTAAACAGCAGCTCCTCAAGCATGGCGAGCCCTATGATGAATTGGCCAAGAATTCTGTTGAGAAACATGCCACAGGGAATAAGAGGTAAGCAAACAAAATGTTCGATTTCCCTCGAATGCATCTTAAAAATGTTTCTTCTCAGAAAATCCGTCGTCAGCTATAAGGTGTTTGCGAAATACTTGGAGAATATGCACGACATAGTGTGGCAGCTTAAGATGCACGAAAAGCGGTACATACCCTTGGACTTTGATAAATGCACCTATGCCTTGTATCTTGAATTCTATCTCAAGCCGGAGATCCGCGAAAGTTACACGTTCAAGTGGCGACCGTGTAACCTGACCACGCATAAGCACCTGCTAAGCATCCCCAATAAGGAGTATGCCCAGGAGCTGAGGAGAACTTTACCTGTGCAAATGCCTGACTTTCCGAAAGAGGAAGAATCTACCGACGTAGCAGACGCCGATACACCTGTGCAGGCGAGAGATGAGTCAATATCTGCAGTAGATGTTCTAAGAAAGTCGCTCAAAAAGCCAAGTAGGATGCCTGAGCCTGAATTGAAGGTCAAAGACGAGGTGATAGAGTTAAGTGACGACTCAGAAGCAGCAACACCACCCGTTCTACAACAGATGAAGACCTTAGACCAAGCTGTGAAGGAGGTTTCATCACCAAAAAAAGGGTAATTTATTTTTGAATCATTTTAAGTATAAAAAAGTTAGTTAACAATGACCTGTAAACTTTAAGCCAACCATCAGCAGCAGATGTTCTGAGAAAGTTAACCGAAGAAAATAATAATAGCTTAGAAACACCAACAAGGATGCACCAGGCAGAATTGGAGGTCGAAGATGAGGTCGTAGATATTGATGTCCACTCACAAGCAGCATATACTATGGAAAAAACACCCGTTCTACGAGGTGTGAAGAACGTTTCCCCACCAAAAAAAGGGTAATTTACTTTTGAATAATTTTAAGTATAAAAAAGTTTGTTAACAATGACCTGTAAACTTTAAGCCAACCATCAGCAACAGATGTTCTGAGGAAGTTAACCGAAAAAAATAATAATAGCTTAGAAACACCAACAAGGATGCACCAGGCAGAATTGGAGGTCGAAGACGAGATTATAGTTGATGATATGCAAAACACACCCATCCTTCACACAGATGTGGAAGTTAATATTGGAAGGTAAGATCCAAAGTGCCCAGAAAGTCTAAATTAACTTTAACTAATCCTTGTGTCTTTCAGCCACGGTCGGTTCATGTTTCCCGTGTCCTTTGAAACCTTCCGAGGGTGCATCAACTATGATGAGATTATTCGACCAATACTCAAGCTGAAAATTAAGGATAAATCCCAGCTAGCGAACTTAATTCTTCATCCCCGGAATCCAATCTGCGAAAAGATCTTCCGTCGCTATTATCGTTCCTTTTATATTTTCCCCGATTATCGGCTGAAGTTTGAATATCGATTTTCCTGCCCAGATAAGCGGGTCTTGAAAAAACTCACTGAATATGCCAAACCGCTCAATGAGAGTGCCCAAAAGACCATGAACCAGGACAAAACTATGGATCAAGAGGTGACAAATGTGGCTCCTGCTGAACAAAGAAAGCACAACCCAGCCGAAGAGCCCGAGACTGCCACAGTTTCAGCTCAGAAAGACAATCGGGAAGTTGAAAGCATTAAGGACAAAGAAATAAGCGAAAAAGCTAAAAAATTGTCCAAGCTCCCTGTGCCCTTTAGCGTTTTCAAGCGCTATCTAAGAAACATTGACGAAATTACTCAGCAAATGAAGCTGTGCGACGAGTACAAGGAGAAATCTGATACGGAGTGCGCCGAAGAATACTACAAGGAATTTTATACGTCGCCAGAAATGCGTAACAAGTTTGAATATAAACTAAGGCCATGTCCCGCCAAGATGCGTGATACGCTCCTTGCTTATGCACAGCAACCAAAGCCGGAACATTCTTCTTCGCAGGGGTCAGATTGCGTTTGCTTGGATGATGTTCCGCAAACATCAACTAAAGAAGATACTCCCTCGGAGGAATTAAAAAATGATCCGGTAAAGAAGAGCAAGGCAAAGGAATCCCACGAAAATCATGTCTCATTTACACTTTTTAAACGTTATTTGAGCAATCTCCCAGAAATAGTCCAGCAAATGCTCCTTTGCGATGACCAAAGAGGGAAATCAGAGAAAGAATGTGCCCGGGATTACTATAACGCATTTTATACTTCGCAAGAAATGCGGGATAGGTATCCATACAAACTAAAGCCATGTCCTGGCCAAATGAAAAACAAGTTGCTCAGTTTTCCGAAAAAAGCCCATCAAATAGAGGAGGTTTCACCCGAAAAACAATCTGAACCATGTGCTTCCATTTGTAGTAGTTCCGACAAATTCGCAGATAACATTATTGTAACTGAAACGAATGAAGTGGAAGTGGATTCAGGGGAAATTCCAGTTGAAACACCCAATAATTTCCAACAAACAGAAGCGATCCTCAAACAGAAATCCAGGTATAATTATTATATTTGTATTATTAATTAAAAAACTAATAAATCCTGTTTCATTTTTAGAAAAACATCGTCAAATGCTCGCAGACAAAAGACCTTCCCAAAGTGAGTGCAGAAATTTCTTTATTTTTAATGAAAAAACTAACATTTAACATTGCAGTGGCGCTTCCTTTGAATTCCCCGTGTCCATTGATACCTTCAAGCGGCACATCAACTGCGATGAGATTATCAAATCGTTGCGAGTGGCGTATGGCCAAAATGAGACTGACCAGAGAGACCGAGACAAAGAGTTATTTCATCAATTCTATTGCTCTTTTTACGTTCAAAAGGAGGTTCGCCAACGCCATTCGTATAAATTTCAAAATACAGATGAAGAGCTACTTGAGAAATTGGAAGAATATGCTGTGCCTCTGAACGATATGGCGAGGCAAACAATCTCGTCCGTTGAAGCGCAGGGCAAAGAAAACGAGAAGTCAGGAATGGCGCCACCTGCTCCGAAGGATGAAACTCTGATTACCATCTCGGGCATCGCGTACCGTTTTCCAGTGTCCTTTAAAACATTTCAGAAGTACATTAACTATGAAGATCTCAAGGTTGGTCTAGCCAATGGTCTAGCTAAGAAGAAAAAGAGCCCAGAGCAAGTGGCGGAGATTCTGGGGGACGAAGGCAGTTGCCTGCGCCTATTACGGCGCTATTATCTCTCATTTTACACCTTAGCGAATATTAGGAATAAGCTGGAATATAACTTCAATGCTGCGCCACTGGAACTTTCCGATAAATTACTCGAGTGGGCAAAGCCCATTAACGAGACCACTGTGCCAACAGGGTCTGTGCCTCAGACCAAACAAGGAGTTCCTAGTGCTCATTCTACTCCGAATCTAGATGCCATCAGGGAAGCGGAACTAGTAAAGTAAGTAAAATATTTTTTTTTATTGGATTAGAGGATCTGAGAACTAAAATCGTTTTCTTTTTTTTTTTGTTATGTATAGCAAGATAAAAAACAATATTGTCACTTACAGGCCTCACGATTTACGCAAATATATATCTTCCCGTGTCGCGTCACCAACGAAACAAGCTGCTCTGGAACGAGATATTGTTGGTTCTATCCAAATGGAAATACCAGAATTAGTTGAACAACAACCAACTAGCGACAAGAATATAGAAGCCAAGACAACTAGCGAGAAGAATATTGGAGGCAAGACAACCAGCGGGAAGAATATAGAAGCTAAGACAACTAGCGAGAAGAATATTGGAGCCAAGACAACCAGCGGGAAGAATATAGAAGGCAAAACAACTAGCGAGAAAGAAAAAGCAACTAGCGAGAAGAATATGGAAGCGAAGAAATCTAGCGAGAAGAATATAGAAGGCAAGAAAACTAGCGAGAAGAATATTGGAGTCAAGGCAACTAGCGAGAAGAATATTGGAGTCAAGACAACTAGCGAGAAGAATATTGGAGCCAAGACTGCTAGCGAGAAGAACATAAAAGAAAAGACAATTAGCGAGAAAAATATAGAAGCCAAGACTACTAGCGAGAAGAATATCGAAGCCAAAACAACCAGCGGAAAGAATATAGAAGGCAAAACAACAAGCGAGAAGACCATAAAAGAAAAAGCAACTACCGAGAAGAATATAGAAGCGAAGACAACTAGCGAGAAGAATATTGGAGCCAAGACTGCTAGCGAGAAGACCATAATAGAAAAAGCAATTAGCGAGAAGAATATAGAAGCCAATTCTACAAAGAAATCAGAGAGTTCATCAGAGATTACGAGACCCGTCAGCAGCAACAACAAAAAAGTGACAAAGCAACCCGAAGAAAACCAGAATAAAGAAAATGCAAAAAGCCAGGATGGAACAGGAACCAGCGATTCTACAGCAGCAAAAACCCAAAGTATGTTGGAGGAAGCAAAGAAACAATTTTTTGCCGAAAGCAGTAAGGTAAGAAACACACCATTGAGAAAATAATAAAAACCTCTTAACCACTATCTAACCCCAAATAGGATCACAAAATGGCTTACTTGATCTGCACGAGCCAAGGTCTGAAGAGGTCGATTTGGCGGATATTGTACCAACTAACCTTGGAGGAATTCAAGACCTACACAAGCATTCACAACGGCGAGGACTTTTACAGGAAAGATGAGGACCTACATCCATACTACGAGCATGTGGTAGACAAGGGAAACTGGCCCTTAAATCTGTACGTTAGGCTGCCCCTTCTGAGGCAGCTACTCCACAGCAAGGGCGTGCATCTAGGCAGGCTGGACCTTGGCCAGCTGTCGCCAAAGATGATCCACTGGGTAGAGGCTGAGCACACCGATTTCGATAAGATCGTTGAAATGCAGTTCAAAGAACGAACGGGCGAGGAAATCGATAGTGTCGAGCAGTGGTTTCAGGAGCGTGAAGATTTCTATGAAGCCTGCTGGCTCCGCGATCACTGGATTTACAAAGTGCCTCAAATAACGAACGATGATCTGCAGGACGAGAGTTATGTTAGGGACCTTCCCTTGCCCGATTTCAATGGAATTGTAATAAGTGAGTGTATATACCATTGCAGGGATATTATAATTTTAGGTTTGCAACGCAGTGAAGTGAATTCTTGATCGGCATTAACAGCCGAGTCGATCTATTCATGTCCGTCTGTCCGTTTCTACGCAAACTAGTCCCCCAGATTTGAAGCTATCTGAATAATATGCAAAGTCTTGTGACTACTCTCACTGCTATATTTATATTCTGTTCTCTGTTTTTCAACATATTTTCATCTTTGACCAGAATGGATAGATTCTTAATGATCCAATTGCAAACTGCAAGGTTTTACAAACTTCGGCGTGCCAAAGTTAGCTTTCTTTCTTGTTAGTGTTACATTATAAGACTTTCAGCTTGTAATTAATCATATTCTCTTGACAGAATCCCTCGCTACTGCAAAAAGCGGAGATGAAAGTAGCCAGACTGAGATTTTATCCATATCCTCAAGCCCTGACATGGTGCCAGGTGAGCCTTTTACTTGGAATTATGTTATTCCCAAGACCAACCATAGCTCTGTTTACCTTCACAGATAGTCAGAGCTGTCCTCCTACTCAGCTCAGCAACAGCTCGAACCTTGTGGACATTTCCAGCATTGACATACAGTCTCAAGTGTCGCAAACTTCACCCGCCTTAAGTGAGTTTTTGTGTTAAATTTTAAAATCTTTATCTTCTAAATATTGTATTCTCTTGACAGAATCACTCGCTACTGCAAAAAGCGGAGATGGAAGTAGCCAAGCTGAGATTTTATCCATGTCCTCAAGCACAGACATGGTGCCAGGTGAGTCTTTTACTTGGAATTACGTTATTCCCAAGACCAACCATAGCTTTTCTTACCTTCACAGATAGTCAGAGCTGTCCTTCTACTCAGCTCAGCAACACCTCGAACTTTGTGGACATTGGCAGCGTGGATATGCAATCCCAAGTGCCCGACACTCCACTCGATCCGTTGGCTTCGCAAACTGAGACGTTGGCTTCGCAAACTGAGACGTTGGCTTCGCAAACTGAGACGTTGGCTTCGCAAACTGAGACGTTGGCTTCGCAAACTGAGACGTTGGCTTCGCAAACTGAGACATTGGCTTCTGTTAAGCAGGAACCTATAAATTTCCTCAACAACATGCGTGGCATCTGCGACACGAATGGCTGCGAATGGGAGAACATTGGGTTGGAGGAGCAAATCATAAACCTAGATTCCAGTCAAGAGGAAGGTTCTAGCTTGTCCTGTTTTGCCATTCCAAAGCCTTCAGAAACGATATCGTCATTCCAGTCGTTGGACTCTCTACTCACGGCCACGATGTTTGAGGACGAAAACTCTATTGAGGAAGAGGAATCTCAGCCAAAGACAAGCAATAACATTCAGAACTTGCCAGAGCAGCCTGTAGAGCCAGCTGTAAAGCCTGAACCTAGTTCAACAGTCGCTGAGACCAATGTGATTCAGCCGCAGGTGCAACCCGCAGATAACCGCAAAAAGAAGCTGCCGGCCAGCAATGAGGTGCCCAGTAAGCGAGTCCGCTTGATGAACGACAAGGTGCCGCAGCTGAGACACGAGTTTCGGCCGTTGCCCCTGAATGCCTGCGTTCGTATTGAGACCGAAATCGTGGGGACAAATGAAACAACTCCTACGGAACAACCTCATATTAACCCAACCCCGCAGCCAGAGGTAGTACCCAACACGATTACTCCATCGCAGGAATTTGCCCAGGACAACACACTATTGGCGTCTTCACAGCTGGCGCCCCTCCTAGATACGGTACCGCCTGGCGTTACCGTTCGAAAGGTAAACCAAAAAGACCAAGTTGGTAAGAATTTAAGCAAGGTTCAGAAGCCTACACTCCGGCAGACAGCTATATTCCGTAAGCTGGAGCGTTTTTATTTTTTCGCCTCCTTGACGGTCCAACAAATAATCCAGTACAGAATCGAGGGGCACCTTCAAGGGGCGACTTATCAGAGTGCCATGCTCAAGATCGACGGGAAGTGCTCCCTAGTGCGGGGTCCCCTTCTAAAAATACTCTTTCCCCACCTTTCACCCCAGCTGCGTTCCGATTTGCAGCAAGTGCTGGCCGACATGCCGGAGTTCGTCTACAGCTGTCGCTGGCGCCGGGTGCAGAAGGATCCCACCGAAGATCTCCGAAAAAGGGTCCTATTCACGTTCATGGACATGGCTCCAGAGTTTGGGCAATTTCGCTTACTGTTTGATACGGATTCGAGAGAGTGGGCAACCTGCAGCGAAATCGGCAGGTGGCATGCCGCGGAGAGGGCTGAGACGCGTCCAACTGACTTTGAGAAGGTCATCAGCCCAGGCATCCTAGAGAAAATGAGGGAATATAAAGCTCTAATGTCTTAAACTTATTTAGAAATGGAAAAAAAAATAAATATATATAATTAGCTAAAAGTTTCCATGTATTTTTCTATCTTTTCAGAAACCCAATTATAGAAGTTAAGCAAGCTTATGGTATAAGGAGCCAAAAGGATATATGTTATATATGTACATATAGAAGTACAAAAAGTTCTGTTTTGTTCTCTTTTAAATTGGAAATGGAAATGATATCTATTTTATTATCAGTTAATAAATGTTTTATGCGATACATCGACTTGAGTTTTTAGAATTGATTTAATCGAAAAAGTTAAGGACAAAGTTCAAAATTTTCAATGTGTTGTAATTAATTATAATTCTTGCTCTTTTATGAATCCAAAATTGTCCGAATTTGACATTTCGGACTCCATTAGCTGACCGAATACAATAATCAATGCCAATTTATTGTATAATTTCATCATAGAAACAAAAATATATCATTTTTGATTATAATTTGTGGTTTTTGGGAATTCCGAATTTTTTAAATTTAAATACAAATATCGATAGATAAATTCTATTATCGACTTTCTGTCATCGATTAATTGCCAATAAGTCCCTAAAAGTTACCAAACGCGCTTTTTCGCTTTTGTAAACAATTTGGAAAGCCGGCTGAGGACATGGATCGCTTGGCCAGGATCTTCTCGCAGCAGGACGAACTGATAACTCTGGACAGTGGGTTTAAGGATGAGTACGAAACATTCAAGTCCCTGCATGCCTTGCCGGCAGAAAAGCGCCAGAGTCTCGAGCAGCTGACACTGAAGTTATTGACGGACTTGGAGCTGCCGCATGACAGGGATTCATGCGCGTTGAGATCGCGGACCCTGCGCGAGGAGGGTAACCTCGTATTCAGGGACGATACCAAGGAAGCGGAACAAATACTAAAAGCCTGCCGACTCTACACGGGCGCCGTTTTTGAGGCGGAGGACGCTTCTGAGGAACTGGCTCTTGCCTTTGCCAACCGAGGCATGGCTTTGCAGGAGTACGGGTATTACCGTGAGGCCTACGACGATTGCGCCAATGCGCTGGACTGCGGGTATCCGGAAAAGCTGCAGCACAAGGTAATCATGCGCCAGGCGTTTTGTGCCTGGAAGTTGGAAAATATTGAGGCATTCGAGGAGCACTTGGCGTGTCTGGAGAAGCTGCAGCTGAATGAGGGCTATGAACGACAGGTAAAGCATCTCAAAGAGAAGCTGGAGCTACTGAAAAGCCACAAGAAGCAGACAGTAATTAATGAGACAGAGGCTGGCACAGTTTTGGAGGAAATGTAAGCCCACCTAAGCACGCACATACATTTATTTTAGTAATCTTTAAACCCTTATATGGCAGCCTTACAGATCCTGGAGAGCGTGGTCGCTATATGGTGGCCAAGGAAGCTATACCCCAGGGCAAAGTGATCTTCTCCGAGCGAGCCTCCTGTTTTGTTCCCCTGGAGCAACGACTGATTTGCCATCAGTGTGCCGCCACCTTGATGAGTGCCCCTATACCCTGTTCGCAGTGTCACCAGCGAGTGGTGTACTGCTCCAGAAAGTGCAGGGAGAAGCATTTGGCCATCCACAGGTACGAGTGCGCCGCTTACCGCCGGGATTTGCTCAAGCTTTTGGGCGTTTCTCACTTGGCATTGCGTCTGGTCCTGACCTATGTGCCTCTGATGCTGCCGCATCTTGCGGGTTGTACCAGCTCCCAAGCGATTTGGAGTAGTATCACTGAATTGTCAGCAAACCAGGAGCAGGAAACTGTTCCTGAATACGTGCAAAGCCTAAGCATGGCCAGCCATCTGAAGCAGGCCTCGCAGGCGGAGTTGGTCTACCATATGCTCTGCGCCAACCTTCTTCAGACGTATCTTAAGGAGCACACAGACTTCTTCAAACAATTCAACGCCTCATCAGCCTCCATTGAAGATTGGCAAGTGGTTATATCAGCCTTGATCCTACGCTCCGCCGGACAATTACTAGCCAATGGTCATGTGAGCAGCTCCCTGCTGCCAGTTGGTCTACAAACCAATGAATTTGCTCTGCTGCAGTCGGACATGTGGGAGAGTCCGCTTCATTTGAGGCTGGGGCAGCTGCACAATCTGGCCCGTTCGGAGCTAATTACGGCCATCAATCTGCCGTATTTGAGCTTGTGCAACCATGGCTGTGCTCCTTCTATTTCCACGAAGTTCGACGGCTGCTCGGTAGTTAATTATTCTTTGGGCGACTTGGCGAGGGGCGAGGAGATCTTCAATTGTTATACACGGGATTATAGGAACAGCTTGAAGCAGCAGCGCTTGCAGGCATTGGAGGAGGTCTACAAATTCCAGTGTAGCTGTGACAAGTGCAAGCGCCCTGATCCCGATCAGGATTACGTAAGCAACTAAGCTTTGGAATATTAAGAATTCCTTGAAATTTAAACTCTTAACTTTTTTATAAGCTCGCCTTCCATCGGTATCGCTGTGAGAAGCCCAACTGCCGGCAGATTTTTACACCAGATGTAGATGGACTTCCACAGAATAGTCTCAACTGGTGGCTGCATTCCCAGGTAGAGAATTCCATTGTTTGCACAGTCTGCCAAGAGCGGCAGCTTTTCCCCTGGTATAACGACTTCCTGGACCTCGTTGAGAGCTGTGTTGATTATAGCAAGAGACAGCTGCTCTTCCAGGCGTACGATGATCTGGACAAATGGCTAATGGAGCATCACAGTCTGAAGAGGAATCTGGCCGGAGAACTAATCATGTCCTGCTTTGTGGAGATAGATGGTAGGATAATCCATCAATCAATCAATTATTACGAAAATCTAAGATTATATTTCCTTGTAGTAGGTTGTATTCTGGAGGATTGGGAGTACGAGAACCTGGCCAAGGTTATCCGCCATCAACTGAAGGGCACTGCGGCCCAGTGCGGCGCCAACTCCCTGGAGTACCTCACAGAGATGACCTATCTTTGGGATTTAATTGCCTTGAAAAAATGCGAGAGCAACGAAATGGAATTGTTAGAGCTGAAAGGTAAGCTGGAGTATCTGGCCAGCGAATATCGCGAGGTGTTTCTGAACTATTACAACGATTTTATTGAGCAACAATGTAAATAACGATGATATACACGCTATAAATTCACTAGTTTCGAGCTACAAGCAATTAACACTGGCACTTTTAACCTACAACTAATATCTGAGCTGAGCTGGGCTCTCCCTTCGTTTAGATGAAATGAGAGGCATATTCGTGGGGCATCACGCCCCGGCGGGGATAGAAGGTGTGGGTGGTGGAGAACTTGAGCAGGTTCGTTATGTCACTCGTGTAGATATCGGCGAAGCGGAAGAGGCGTCTCGAGAAGTACGTGGGATTGTGATAGGTGCGGAAAACGCTGCCAAACTGCTCGTTGAACACGTTCTTGGTTTTGTTGCTGTCAAAAAGGTCAAGTGGCTGATAAGTAAAGAAAAAACAATAGTAAAAATAAAATGCCCTACCGCAACTGATCCCGCTCATCCATCCAATCCCTGAGGCACTTTTGGGCCGCCTCGCTCTCGTCGTCCTGGGTCTCCTCGATGAGTTGCGTCAGCATTTGCAGCCAGTTGGCGCTCATCTTGAAGTCCACACGGTTCAGGGTCTTGATTTCGTGCTGGAGAATAAAATAATATATATTATATATCTTTACATTTTGACCGTTTACATGTATACCCACCGCTAGCTCACTGATGATGGCGCCCGTTCGCCAGCTGTGCTTCAGGGTGACATCTGCCAGATCGCTGTAGGGATGATCCCCAAAATAGAGCACAGAATGGCCACGCCAGCCCTTGAGCTCCTGCAGCTGCCTCACTGAACCCTGCTCCCAAAAACGAGCAAATTATAAAATTGAAAGATTACTCAAAAAAAAAACCCCTCACCTCGTAGTAAATTTTACCCTTTTCCAGCTTGAAAACGCGATCCCACAGATGGGACTGTGTTCGTTCGTCAAACAGCCTAATGGGCCGAGATTCATCCGTAAAGAACTTGGGCTTTCGTGCCTGCACAATGACCACATCAAAGAAATCGCGCCAGTTTGAGCCCACCAGCCAGGACATGCCGCAGTTCCTACAACATAAAACTGTTAGGATACTATATAGCAACTATAACTCCTTGTACTTACACAAACGAGTACGGGCTATTGGTGACCAGAAAGAGATTCTTGCCCGCCTGCTGCAGCTTCTCAAAGAACTTGACTAGCTTCGGATTACGTTCAATATACTTCTCGGTGTTCAGCATCACCTTGCCATGCATAATGGGATGGCAGGAGCCCATGGCCGTCCTCACGTCATGGAAAACAATCTCTGGATTATAGTCGATGCGATTCCTCTCGAAATACTCAATCACGTTGCACAACAGACACATTTCAGGTACGGAAAAAAGATCGGCCAGCTGCACCATTTTGGAGTTGGTGTTGTGCTGCGAGGAGAAATCCAAATTGAGCTCGTAAATCATTGATTTTTATACGTTTCCTGATAAGATACGAACCCTATAGCTATTGTTTGGCCCCTCCACATAGGCAATGGGCAGCAATCGGTTGTGGTACAGCTTCAGCACCTCATCGGCCTCGACTTTGGTGCGACCTCGGTAGACAGAGCCCAGCTGCAGCTGCAGGAAGCTGTCCAGCTTGACGAGCAGACCCTTTTCCACATCGTAGTGCAGGCCGCGCACTGCAAAGTTCGGCTCATATTCCAGTTCGAGAATGTCGTCCGGGTAGCGGAACCGCTTCACCAGCATCTCCCGAGCCAGGTTGTACAGCAAGTCCTCCAGGATCGGCTTGTAGCAGGCCAGAGTGTAGTCGTAATCGAAGCCATACACCTGCACCTCGCTCAGATCCAGCTCGTTGCAGGCAAACACCGCATCGGGATGCACGTCCACAGGCAGCTTCTTGGCTGAAAAGGTCATCGGAGGAGAATGCGGGTGTTATACTTATTTGCGAATGGGACAGAGACGGATATTTATAGATCGTGCACATCTACGCATATGCATATGCCTGCTGTGAGTGGTTGAGGCTTACATTGGAACTTCTTTTTGGTGGCTTCGTAGAGCTCTTGGAAATCACTCACTGTTTTCGGGTGCGAGATCTGAGCGGGAGCAGTGGCAGATGCAGCGGAAGCCCCAGTAACGGTCGCTCCAGCGTCCGACGAAAAAGAGCGGGACTGCCACTGGGCGCTCGAGTTTGATTTAGACAGTGGGGCAAGGGCAGTATTCCAGCTCCGGATGGCGACAACGCTTCGCAGGAGCACATTCTGCCTGAGGAGCGCACTCACGATGGGATTGCCTGCCGCGCACATTTAACTCGCTAGCCAATTGCCAATTAAGCCCGTTTGTTATGTACACCAAGTGGGGGCGGAATGGGGCTGGATGTGGAAGTGGTTGGGGTGGTGTGACCGGAACACAGGCCCCACTAAAATACCAGTGTGCGCCGATTTGTGGGAGATTTGAAAATGACCGATGATAAGTGCCCCAAAATGGTTACTATTTCCAATTTTATTTTAAGTATTAGCATCGTTAATAAATGTAATACAATGTAATAGAAAAGTCAAAAGTAACGGATTTTTAACGGCTGATTGTACTCAATAACCTTTTAATTTTATTAAATTTATTTAAATTAAAATAAAGCTGGGTAGTTATAATGACAATTTCCTAAGGCATTGAAAGGGTTACCTTTTTTTTAAATACTCGTTGATTCCTACCAAAAAATTGTTTTCCAAATTGTTCAGCTTTAAAAACATCCAAATCGATGTATCGGCTTATAAATAACATATATTATATCGATAGTAAATCGTTGGAAATTCCATCTCTAATTTCGAACATCTGGGTGTTAAAAATATTTTCGGCAAAAATTAACAAAATCAACGAGTGCAATAAAATCTCCAGTGATTTCTTTAGCGATTTCTTTCGCCCTTTTAAATTACAAAGAATCCAATCGAATCGGTGAAAAGAGGAGTGCCACGAGGAGAGGAAGGAAGAGCCCGAAGAAATTTACTTTTCTGTGCATGTGTGTGCGTGCGTGTGTGTGGTAGTAGTAGTATTTTTTCATTTCTGTTTTCACTGTACGTGCGATTCATATATTATTTTTCATTACGTGAGCCAATGCAATATTCGGACGAGGACAGAATTTTGCCCTCGCCCGCCGGAGAAGGCCGACTTTGAATTTGATCTTATTGTTTATTTCATTTGTGCAATTAGATGCTGCCAGCGATGTAGAGCTGCTGATGGCCCCTCTTCCACGGGGGCCGCGGCGATTGCGATGCAATAAGAGTGAATTAGACACGGAATAAAAAAAAAACAAAAACAAAAAAAAGCGACAAAAACAAAAAAGAAAGACGATAGGCGGTTGGCCAAATTACGCCGCAGTTGAAAAGAAAAGCGCGAAGAAGAAGCAACAATACGTCAAATATCTCTCTCCAATACCATCACACGGCTCGGATCGTCGTCTCACCGTGCCGTGTCCGTGTGCTCGAAAATTCTGGTGGCCCCAGCCCCCAAGAACAACAAATCCAAACCGAAACCGAACAACAACATCAAAAAGAACAACAAACATCCGTTCGAGCATTGACAACTGATACGTAGAATTATGAATGTAGAGAGCCAACTGAAGACACCGCTAACGCACATACGCAATCTGGTCAAGCACGTGAATAAGCGAAATTTTAATGAAACCAGCGAGCAAATAAAGCAGGTGAGTTTGGCTAATTGTCCGCCAGCGAATTGGACAAGCAAATTGTTTTTGACTCTGTCAACAATAACAACAATAGTGTCAGAGGGTGACGACTGCGGGGTTCGAATGGTGTTGCCAAACCGTGTGCATATATCGCACCTGGCTGCCCTGCCAGTGTTGCCAATTGTCCACACTCACGACCGTCTGCGGAGCACTATTGCCATTTCACTCGCTCGTGCATTTTTGCCGACGCCATTACAGTTTTTTGTGGAGGCAGCAGAAAAAATTTCTCTGCACGGCATTGCGCGAGTTGTTCCCGTTTTGTTTAAGCCAAAAGTGATTTAAAATGTATCGAGTTAGACTAATTGAGTGCGAAAAGCCACACACTTGAGTCTGGCGAATGTCGGAGTGTTTCATTCGCAGTGAAATCGTGCGAAAGCGAGCTGCAAAAACCGAGGCAGCGAGAAGTGGCCAGGCAAAGCCAAGCGATAGGGTCTCGACCCTACTAAACTAACTCCTATCCTGTACAAAGCCAACTGCCCAATCGAATAGAGTTTTGTAAGTTCATAGTGCGCAGATAGTGGGGAATAATAATTGCGGCCGCTTTCTTTTCGCTGGATTGGCAATATGCCCTCCGTCGCACTCCTTCAGTTTGACCCCCTTCCTTTCTCGCACCGTCATCTCGGCTCTGCTCGGGCTCTCCTCTCCCATGTAAAATGTTTCGCCAGCGAGTGTGAGCGAGAGGGAGCGATCACTTTTGTGTGTAATTTGTTGTGGAGCAGCTGCGACGACGACGGCGGGGTCACAGCTGTTGTCTCGCTTCTGCGTGTACACCGCTCAGTCGGTGTGAGAGAGAGCCTTGAGTCCGGACTCCGAACTCCGCACTCCGGATCTGAATCCGAATTCGAATCCGGAGCACACAAATAAAGGGGAAAACAAACTTCAAAGTGGGGCAGGCGGCGGCCGGGCTGTCTGCGTTAACACACACTTAATCTGTCTAAATTTCCAAGTTCGCAATGAAAAACCTATAAAAATCAATTGATCACCGCATATCAAAAGGCATCTTCATCCGCGTCCCACGCAGCCACCGATATGTGTACAACATCGCGGGCAGTCGCTGCCAGGGCGCGTCTACTAGTTGCCAAAGCCAGTACAGCAATGCATAATGTCACATCTTCATTCTTCGCCCTTTTACAGTTCGCCAAAGAGCACGGACTGGAAGCGGAACGCAGCAGTCTGCGCCACCTGTTCTCCGTGATCAACCTCAGCGATCCCGCGCCGTCGGTCACCGTTCAGCTGCAGGCAAAGCTCCTGGGCACCCAGTTGCAGCGTCAGCTGCAGAATCCCTCGTTTGTGTCCAACATCTGTTTTGCCTTTGACCAGTACTTTGCGAGCAACCAGAAGGTGAGTATCTACTTCATCCTCACCGCTACCAATTTTTTTTAGATTTATTTTGGTAACACGATTCTTTTTTGGCCAGTCGTTTAAGCCTGCTGCGGTAGCCGATCTAGTTAGCCACGTGTCCCGACTGACCGGCATCAACAAGCTCTGCGAGTGCATATTTGCGTTGGCCGTGACCCATTCCTCTCATCCCGAGCTTAGGCAGTCAGCGAGGAACAACTTGCAGGTGTCCCTCGTCGAGCTGATCGATTCGTATTTGGGCAAAGGAAACAGCAACCCGGCCAGCAGTGGTCTGCAGGAGATATCGTTTGACCTGCTGCAGTATTTACTGTGCTGTCTCAAGGAGTACGTGAAACCGCAGCTGGAGGCCCAGTTTTTGGTAAAACTTCGCGAGGAGTTTCCGCGCCAAGCGGTGCCATTGGTTCTAGCGCCGTTCCTTTACGGCTCCGGCTCGACCACGGCGTCGGCGACGATTTCGGGAGCAAGTGCCAGCGAAACGGATGCAGAGGCCGAAGCAACGGCCAGCAGCAACAGCAACAGCTCCAGTTACGAGGCAGATGCTCTGAACGAGGTGGGAATTGAGGATATCTATGACCATTTAAGCGAGATAATATTCACCAACCAGGTGAGCGTAAGAAATGCATAGCAAGGCAATAGGAATTTGATCCCTAATACAATCTGTTGTTTGCAGGGCAAAAATAATATTATGGACACATCCTGGATTAATCTAGTCCTTGAAATCGGTTATGAATTTACATCGAGCGTTGAAGAGTGCAAGAATCATTTGTGTTCCCGCGAACGCGCTGAGCTTCAGTCCAAAGATGTCGCCAAGATCGTTGGACTCATGTGCCGACGGCACTCGTCGCTGCTCGATTGTAATGTAAATCTACCGACGCCAGCGAACTTCTGGCCCGGACAGGGACAATCACAGGGTCAGGGTTCAGGTAGTAACAGCAGCGGCGGCGGCGGCTCGTCGCAGACACAAAGTACTTCGCAGCAGCAGAGCTCCAGTAGCAGTAGCAACAACAACGATGGCAGTGAGGGAAATGCGTCCAGTGATAAGAAGGACAAGAAGGAGACGACGGAGGCCACACAGACATGGAAGCCAGATGTCTTTGTGCAGGCCCTCAAGGAGGTGGTGCCCCAGCTCAACTGGAAGGACGTGTGCATGGGTAATGTCAGAAACAGTTCCCCAATGGGCTCAATCTAATTCTTCTTTTGTTTTTTTTTTTCTTTAGAACTCGATCATCCCGAGTTTGTGCTAAAGGATCGCATTGGCTTGGACTTGCTTTTAACCATCCTGCGATTGGCCACGGGCTCCAGCTTATTCCCACATCCAGAATGCATTTATCGCCACTGGGCCAACACGGAGGGTCAGCTGTCGCTGATTACCACTATGCTGAAGAACCCGGATCTCTTCTCCTTTGCCGACTTTGTGTTCAGTCAGCCAGCGTTGGATGTGCTGAAAACGGCTCCAGATGCCGACAACAAAGAGATCTCGGCGTGGAAGTCACTGCATCTGGTGGAGGTGCTGCTCTCCATCGCGGACAAGGGATATTATACGCAGGTGCATGAGCTCTTGAAGTTCCCTGCCCAGAATTGTCCCGACGTGTTGTTCCTGGCCCTGCTGCACATCAGTCCACCCCTGACGCCTCTCCGTCAGGATTTATTTAACCAACTGATACCTACGTTCCTTGGCAACCATCCCAACTCCAACGTGATCCTGGCTAGCGCCTGGAGTTCGACGAACTTCCAACTGCGCCCCAACATAATGAATGCCATGTCCGAATGGTATCTGCGCGGCAGTGAATTCGATCAGGTGAAGCTGTCGCGTATCTTAGACCTTGCCCAGGACCTGAAGGCGCTGTCCTCTCTGCTGAACGCCCGCTCTTTCCTGTTCATTATCGACCTGGCCTGCCTTGCCTCCCGGCGTGAGTACCTGAAGCTGGAGAAGTGGCTAACCGATAAGATTCGCGACCACGGCGAGCCCTTCATGCAGGCCATGATCAAGGTGCTGCTGCGTCGATGCCCCCAGGTGGTTAATGCCAAAATGCCCGAGGACCAGCTGCCCCCCAAGCAGACTCAACTCTTGCCCGAGACTGTGACCACGATGATCAACTGCCTGCACACGTGCATCAACAGCTGCATGCAGCCGGAAATGGGCGAGATGATTATGCAGATGACCGCCAATGTGGCCATTATGGCGAATAAGTCACGTGTTCAGCAGCAGCAACAACAACCAGGTTTGGTTCCGCCGCCGCCACCAAATATCTTGCGCGGCCATCGTGGCATGGATCTTCCCGGCGGCATTGTGCCACCGCCGCCACAGCAACCCTTCTCTGGAAACCTTAATGCCCAGATGTTTGGACCCGGAATGGATCCGCTTACGAATATGTCCAACAACCTGGCAGGCCTCAACCTGAGCGGCCCGAACGGTGCCTTCAATTTTGGCAACATGCTAACCTCTCCTTCGCGTTTAATGACTCCGGGAGCCAGTCCCTATCCGCTGAATCCCATGCAGATGCCACAGGCTCCACCACCACCCAATGTTGGGAATCTTGGTCGCATGCTGCCCGGTGGTCCCCAACAGCCAACTCCTACGCCCACGCCGACGGCCCCGAATCCCAACAACCCGGTGATGGCCGACTTACAGATACCTGTGTCCAAGGAGGTGGAGGACGAGGTGAACTCGTATTTCCAACGCATCTACAACCACCAGCCCAATCCCACTCTCTCTATCGACGAAGTTTTGGATATCCTGCAGCGCTTCAAGGAGTCCAGCAACCGGCGGGAGCAGGAGGTCTTCTTGTGCATGCTGCGCAATCTGTTTGAGGAGTACCGCTTTTTCTGTCAATATCCGGAGAAAGAGCTGCAGATCACAGCCCAGCTGTTTGGCGGCATCATTGACCGCAATCTGGTGCCCACTTTTGTTGCCCTGGGACTCTCCTTGCGTTGTGTTTTGGATGCACTCCGCAAGCCCGAAGGCTCCAAGCTTTATTACTTCGGTGTGACGGCACTGGATAGGTTTAGGACTCGACTGCACACCTACAACAAGTACTGCGAGCACATCCGTTCCATTCCCCACTTCTCGGACTTTCCGCCGCACCTCATCCACTATGTGGAATACGGAATGCATGGCCAGGAGCCGCCGCCACAGAAGCTGATTGGCCTCAGCAACACGATTCCGCCTGTGATATCCACAGGGCCGATAACTGAGCCTCTGTATAGGACCAATTCCATGCAGGGAAACATGCCCGCTGCCACGCCCGGATCAGGACCCAAATCGAACGTAGCTGTGTCCCATGCCACCCGGATGAAGTCTATTGCCAATGCCACCAATATCGATACCCTGCTGGTGGCCAACCAGGAGGAGAAAGTGACGATACCGCCAGAGCCCGTGCAGGACAAAACGGCCTTCATATTCAATAACCTCAGCCAGTTGAATATCCCCCAGAAGTGCGACGAGATCAAGGAGATCATGACCAAGGAGTATTGGCCCTGGCTAGCCCAATATTTGGTTCTCAAGCGTGCCTCCATGGAGTTCAACTTCCATACGCTGTACTACAACTTCCTGGAAGCCCTCAAGAACTGCGAGATCAATCGGTTTGTGACCAAGGAGACGCTGCGCAACATCAAGGTGCTGCTGCGCTCTGATAAGGGAGTCATCAACTTCTCCGATCGCAGTCTGCTGAAGAACCTTGGCCACTGGCTGGGCATGATGACCCTCGGACGCAATCGTCCCATCCTGCTGTTGGACCTCGATCTAAAGTCTCTGCTGGCCGAGGCCTATCATAAGGGCCAACAAGAGCTGCTTTTCGTGGTGCCCTTTGTGGCCAAGATTCTCGAATCGTCCGCCAAATCACGCATTTTCCGCTCGCCCAATCCCTGGACCATGGGCATTATGTACGTGCTGGGCGAGCTCCACCAGGAGCCGGACCTTAAATTAAACCTTAAGTTCGAAATCGAGGTACTTTGCAAGACGCTCAATCTGGAGCTGGCCAAGCTGCGACCAGTGATCTACCTCAAGGATCCCACGCGAGCTCTACTCATCGAGCAGCAGATGTCGCAGCCAAAGCCGAAGCAACAGGATACCATTGCACCGCCGCCGTCTTTGCCGCGAGAACAACAGCAATCGCCAGCCCAGCCGCCTCCGCAGCAGCAGCAGCAGCCACAGCCACAACAACAGGCTCCTCCACCGGCTCCGCCGTCGGATGTGGACGCCCAGACGGCAGCCGCCATGATGATGGGAGCCGGCGGCAGTGGAGCGAACAGCACTCCCGGATCAGTGGCCTCTCCCAATCTGCCCACCGATCCCAGCCAGGTGGTGCTGCCACCGCCCGAGCCGCGGTACGCGTACGTGGACGTGAATGTGAGCAACTTCCAGCTTATTGCACAGCACCTGGTGCTGCCCCCAAATATTCCATTCCTGCACGCCAATCCAGGAATCAAGCATATCGTGATCAATGCCGTGGAACGCACGATCACCGACTGGCTGCAGCCCATCGTGGATCGGAGCATTCGCATCGCTTGCGCCACCACCGAGCAGATAATCCGTAAGGACTTTGCCCTGGATGCGGACGAGAACCGCATGCGCACCGCTGCTCACCAGATGGTGCGCAACCTGGCTGCCGGCATGGCCATGATCACCGGCAAGGACGAGATAGCCCGTGCCATTAGCCAGAACCTGCACAAGGCATTGTTCTCGGCACTCACTGGAATGCCCAGCCTGACTGAGATCCAGGCTGCTGCCCTGACGCTGGCCAGCGAGAATGTGGAACTTGTGTGCGCCTTTATCCAGAAGACATCGGCCGAGAAGGCAGCCGCCGAGATTGACAGGCGTCTGAGCACCGATTTCGAGACCCGAAAGATCGCACGGGAGGAGGGCAATCGCTTTGTGGACTCTCAAATTCTGAGCTATCAGCAGGATCGCCTTCCGGAGGCAGTGCGCATCAAGGTGGGTGCTGCTCCAGCTACACTGTTCGCGGTGTACTCGGAGTTTGCCCGAAGCATTCCCGGCTTTCAGCAGATGAGCGAACGGGATATCGCCCTGTTTGTGCCGAAGCCACAGGATCTGGCGCAGCCAAATGTGTTTGCAAACGATGAGAGCAGCATGGTTTACGCCGAGGTGGCCAGTAAAATGGAGGCCTTTATGAACACGGCCATTAATGTGCCATCGCTGCAGGTGCAGGCCAGCAAGATGCATATGCTCCTCAATGCCCTGATGTCAACACGCAGACAGAGAGACCAGGATTCGGCCTTTAATCTACTAACCCGTGCCGTCGAAGGCTTGACCGAGGGCTTGATCACTGTGCCTGAGCACATGGAACAGATGAAGCTCTACCAGAACATCCATCTTCGCATCCTCAGTCTGCTGCACAACAGCTTTGGTGCCCCCAACACGGAGCGAGCTGTGACCAAGTGCTTCTTCGATATCCGCGAGGAGGTGCGCTACAACGTGGAGGCGGCCCGCGCCCTCATCACCTCACATTTTGTCAATTTAAATCAATTCGATGTAATGCTGCGGGATTGCATGGACAATGGCAACAACTATGTGGCCATTTCCTTTGGCATCGCTTTACTGGAGCGTCTAATCATGGAGGATAGGGCGATTAACATTGTGTCGGACAACGAGTTTATGGCCACAGTGGAACTGCTGGGCAGGCTAACCCAGCACCGTCATCGCTATCCGGAGTGCATTGTGAATGCCATCGAGGCGCAGTGGAGTGGAAACTTCAACTCCAGTGGTGACATCAGTCCGTTCAACGCTTGCGAGCGTTACCTGCAAGGAGCCTCCCAGTACATTCACTCCGGCATGCATCACGTGAGGGTAAGAATTTTATTTTATTTTATTTTTTTGTTTGTTTTATAATATTATCTCTCTTTTTGTTCAGTCATGTGACACAGATGATCCGCCAGGATTGCAGGAAAAGACCGAGTTCTTGCTCAAGGATTGGGTGGCCCTGTACACCCAGCAGAACCAGCAATCCACTCGAGATGCCCGGCACTTTGGTGCCTTTGTGCAGAAAATGAATACATACGGAATCCTTAAGACGGACGACCTGATCACACGCTTCTTCCGTCAGGCCACGCACATCTGCACGGATGTGGTATACCGAATGTTCGCGGAGCCCAGCCTGCCCATTAACCAGGCCAAGAACAAGATTTTCCAATGGATCGATGCTTTTGTGCATTTGATCGCGATGCTGGTGCGTCACTCGGGCGAGGCTGGAAACCCGACAACCAAGATCAACCTGCTGAACAAAGTGCTGGGCATTGTGCTGGGCACGCTGCTCAAGGACCACGAGATGCGCGGCGTGAGTTTCCAGCAGGTGGGCTACCATCGCTTCTTTATGATGCTATTCATGGAGCTCTGCTCGGCGGACGTGATACTCGAGACGCTGATGCACAGCATTGTGTCGGCCTTTGCCTACACTTATCACCTGCTGAATCCCAGCTTTGCTCCTGGCTTCTGCTTTGCCTGGCTGGAGCTTATCTCGCATCGCGTATTCCTGGGCCGCATTCTCGTCCAGATTCCCGGCCAGAAGGGCTGGCCGCTTTACGCGCAACTGTTGCAGGATCTCTTCAAGTATCTGGCGCCCTTCCTGCGGAACACAGAGCTGGGCAAGCCTGTACAGCTCTTGTACAAGGGTACCCTGCGGGTGCTACTCGTCCTGCTGCACGACTTCCCGGAGTTCCTGTGCGACTATCACTTTGGCTTCTGCGACACCATCCCGCCCAACTGCGTTCAGATGCGCAACATTATCCTGTCAGCGTTCCCGCGCAACATGCGCCTGCCCGATCCATTTACGCCCAACCTGAAGGTGGACATGCTGTCGGACAGCAGCAACGCGCCCAAGGTGCTCAGCAGCTATATCATGAACATCCAGCCGCCGAACTTTAAGAAGGATCTGGACTCTTACCTCAAGGCCCGTGCGCCTGTTACCTTCCTTTCGGAGTTGCGTGGACACTTGCAGGTGACCCTCGAGCCGGGAACGCGCTACAACATGACGCTGATGAATGCCCTGGTCATGTATGTTGGCACCCAGGCAATTGCCTTGATTAGGTGAGTGGGTGTATGCATGTTAATTAAAGAATACTTTTGCTAATCAATATTGAATACCCTTCGCAGAAACAAGAACTTTGTGCCCAACACATCAAACATTGCACACAGCGCTCACATGGATATCTTCCAGAACCTGGCCGTCGACTTGGACACAGAGGGTCGCTATCTGTTCCTGAACGCAATTGCTAACCAGTTGCGCTATCCTAACAGTCACACGCACTACTTTAGCTGCGCGGTCCTCCACCTGTTCGCCGAGGCCAACTCGGAGGCCATTCAGGAGCAGATAACACGCGTCCTGCTGGAACGATTGATTGTTAACCGCCCGCATCCGTGGGGTCTGCTCATTACGTTCATCGAGCTGATCAAGAATCCCATTTACAAGTTCTGGGATCACGATTTTGTGCACTGTGCACCGGAAATTACCAAGTGAGTTGGACTAATATAGAGGGGAGAATCGAGTTCAAGGTTTTGTGTAGCTTTGCAGTAGATGGATAGAGCGCTTGTCACTTTTGTTGCTACTTCCTTTCCACCTTATTTACCAGTTACCTCGCCTTCTGTTTACAGATATTTTGGTGATTGTTTGATTGTATTTGATCGGGCATTTTTGAATGGCATTCAGTGTGAAACGTAGCCCAGAGAGCAAGAAAGCGTTCCAAGCAAACCGACCAGTCCCTACCATCCATCCCACTCTTTTCTTTTTTTCATTGTTCACCTTTTCTTATTCGTTTGTAATCTCCTCTTTTATACAATTATTTTAGCATGAATCTATGAAAATATAACAATTATTTACTAAGCAAGTCTCGGGGTTTCTAGTCTGTATATATACCTGAAGAATTTTCATTAACCACTGCTATTCTTTGCCATTATTTGTAGGCTCTTCGAATCGGTGGCCCGATCCTGTTTGGCCAAGTCGAACGTCACCCAGCAGCTAAACATGCCCGTTGTCGTCGATGGCGAGGGCCAGGAGGTGGTGGCCAACATCAACTGAGAAAACGCCACCGTCCGACGCTTCTGCCTGGAGGTCTGTGCGCGACCCAGACGCAGGCAGTAGCACTCCCTCCCACACCGCACTACTACTAACAATAACTGCGTTTAGTTTATAGTGAATCGTGTGTTTTTTTTATTAAGGATACAGTGAAATCAGCAAAGAAACATTTACGACAACAGCAACAATAATAACACAACAAGAACCAGAACAGCAGGCCAGGCCAAAGTCGGGACTCGACTTGTATTTAAACGAACGGAGAAACGATAACATTTTAAATGCGCCTCCCCTTGCCCCAGGGGGGAATGTTATAAATTTTTAAATTGAGTTGTATTATAAAAAAAAAACGATAGATGGAAGGCGAAAAAACTGTTGATTACAGATAGATACTTTGTAAAGAAATCAAACCAAGCGATAAAAAAGAAAGAAAAAAAAAACGAATTAAGTATAAACAAAAAAAAAAGAGAAAATCGAAAAAAGGAAAATAATTTTCTACAAAAAAATTGCAAAATATGTACAATGAGAAAATGCGACAAAAACTAACAAATGCGATGTAAATATGTAGATTGTTGTTGCTACTACAAAAAACATTCGGCAGAAGGCGAGACAACAAACAACAGCAGCAGCAGAAATTAGATCAAAGAGAAGATGCAGAAGACGTAGCAACAACAACAGCCACAAAGAAAACACAAGAACACATACAACAAACGGAGAGAACCAGCAGAAGAAGAACCTACTCTCAGGACAGACGCTGAGAGGCAGAAGAGTCACTACCAATTCGAGTTGTCAAAGTAGCTGCTTGCTCACATCTTCACTTGCAAATTCTCCTTATCTTTAGTCTCTAAGAGCGCGCCCCTCAGTTAGTCTTCTCGTATATACGTTAACTTTTAAAGTGTTTCCGCACAAAACAATTGTAACAAACTACCAATCTACGTTTGATCTTCATATTAATTTTGTTTTTTATACCTACCTACCTTTTATTACGAACTGATGATCATTATTAACTGAAAATGGAATTAGCATTGAACACATCTCTTAGCTTGTTAAACTTAAAGTCGATCGATCCTCCCATGTAAAGTTAGAGAGCTGTTAGTATCAGAGATCGAGAGAGAGAGAGAGCGTGGCCAAGGAGAGTCGCAGCCATTATCTATAGAGCGATCTATATATAAATATATAAAGTATGTATTTCCAAATATAAATACGTAATGTAAATCGATTATGAATGCGGCGCCGGCAGTGGGAGTCATTATCCTACCAAGTTATGTGTACCCACTCCCGCACTCTCTGCAGCAACCCAACTCTATAGTTTATAGTCTCTGCACACGAAACACATCCCTTTTGTATTTACGCACGCGTCAAATGTATTTTGTATTTTGAATCAAAACTAAACTGAATTGAAGCCTGAAGCCTGTAGAAAGCGAAAGAGAGTGAAGAGAGTACGTCTCAGTTTTCTAGACAAAGACCCCCCACAAACTCATTTATAGACTAATTCCGTTTGCGATGGCTAAGAAGGAAAAGTATGTTTATGTATATGATGATGATGAAGATGATTATGTTCACCGATCGACCGACAGACACAATACAAGAGAAACATTCATTAACAAAGGATGCGACACGAGAAGAAACCACAACAAATCTACATTGATATAAATAATAATCCATTAAAATCGAAATAAGTAACATTACGCATTAAGAGATATATATAAAAAATTAATATGTATACAAAACAAATATTAAATGTATAAATGGCAAAATTTTAAAAAAACCTGCAGCCTTTAATTTTTCACCTTTATGGCTAAGTCTAGATGAGTGTGTGTGTATCTGTGGGTTAACACTTAAAAAAGCTCATTTTATTGGAGCAAACATACATATAGCATGTACTCTCGTGTACATATGTACCCCATTTCCGCGCCCAGGCTTACATAACGACCCACCGCCCCCCCCTGGAATGGTTTTGGGTTAAGTAAACAGAAATGTCGATAAATGCCGAGTGCGGAGAGAGCGGTTACAGCTTGGAAAAGCGAACCGAACCGAACTGAACTGAAATGAAATGGAATGTACGCTTGTATGTCCGTGCGTGTATCTATCTATTGTGTGACACGAATTCAGCATTAATTGAAATGCTGCAGTCATCGCAGTGCCAGTGCCAGTTCCCCTCCTCCTCCTTCTACTCCTCCTTGTGTTTTCGTTGCCAATTCACATGAATTTGTCATAAGGCTGATATGACACAAACAAACAAACGACTAAAGAAGAAAAAAAATCAAGCAACCAAATTGTGCACCGCGAGAAATTCAGGTCTATTTGGTAGTATCTTTGTGGCCAAGGTCAACTGATTAGCAAGGGCTCCTCACAAGTATGTCCAGTTTCTCAATGTAAGGTTAATTCCTAGCTTAAATACTGAACTTTAAAGTCAACATTAGCCTTAACCGATAATCTTGGGAAAAGGAATAATCTACTCTCACTTTTAAAGTCTATGTTAAACTAACCGAAATGGATTTTATCGAGTCGAAAAAGATTTAACTAGGAGTTGGTTTTTTATTTTTAAATAGATATTTATACCCTTGCAGGGTATTATAATTTCAGTCAGAAGTTTGCAACGCCTTTCCGACCCCATAAACCATATATATTCTTGATCAGCATCAACAAGGGAATCTTTCTAGATATGTTAGGAAGAAATCGAATTTTTGGCCATTTTTGCAAAATTTTACAAGGGGTTTAGACATATACGCCGCCGCGCCACGCCGCCGCCGCCGCCGATTTTTGCCTTATTTGACGCGCCGCCGCCAAATTATGAAAATAACGGCGCGCCGCGGCGCGCCGCTGGTGCGGCATCGGCGCAGCTTCAGCGCGGCCTTCAGTGTCATTGTTCTTTATAAAACTTAAAAAAAAATAAATAACTCATTAAAATGGCCTTTTTGCCTTATTTGACGCGCCGCCGCCGCCGGTTCTTTCTGACTACTACGCCGCCGCCGCCGAGTCATTTTGACCTCTACGCCGCCGCCGATGCCTTTAACCATCGGCGTAAACCTCTAAAGGGGTTACATCATTAAAATTTTGATTTTGATAAAAAATTGAATTTTCAAAATTTTTAAATGAAGTATGCAGATTTATTAACTGTAGAAAATCTTGCACAGAACTGTTTTCCGATTTAAAATTAATGCTTTTTTGGCCGAGTTATGATATTTTTAATTAAAAAAAAAATCAAGAAGTTTTTTAATAAAAAAAATCCGATTTTATAATACAAAATAATATTTTTCTAAGTCAAGGAATCATTTCCGACCCCAAAAACCATAAATATTCCTGATCAGCATCGACAGGGGAATCTTTCTAGACCCGTCCGGAAGAAATCGATTTTTTGGCCATTTTTTGCGAAATTTGATAAGGGGTTACATCATTAAAATTTGCAAGAATGGCCAAAAATTTTGATTTCTTAAAATTTTAAATTTGGTATGCAGTTTTTTTAAATTAATAAAAACTAACACAAAACTGCTTTCCGAATCGAAATTAATGCATTTCTGGCTTAGTTATGATATATTTTAATTGTTACCTGAAAGGATATACAAACTTTGGTAGGCAAAAGATAGCTTCTTCTTGTTTTCTATTTTATTTAGGTGCCTTAGATGTTTGATATTTGGTGGACTTGGGAAGTTAAATTTTTAATTACTTGTATTAACATTCAAAAGCATTAAGGAATCAGGGCAACCCCTCAAAAACTCCTCAAACTTCTACTTGTTATGAATATTCAGTTGTAAGTTTGTAACTTATAGTGGTTCAATTGACCTTAAAAAGTTGTCATATTTTTTGCTAATGTAGAAATATAAAAAAAAAAAAAAAACTACCCAACGAGTTGGTTTTGGGGCTTGTGTGTTAGAGTGTGTATTTTGTATCTCGTATCTATGTGTGAGCGCTTGGAAACAGAATGTGGCACACTTAGCGCTCGGTCGACGTCGCTGCGCTGCGCAAAAAGTTTCCCCTGCCCGTGAGGTGTGTGTGTGTGTGTGTTGGGGCCCACCAGTTTCTTCTGTGCCAGGTCCCAGTCCATCGGTATCCGAAAGATACAAAAAGCGACGCTGCAGCTTTGTTGCCTCGCTCGGCGTACATGGCCATTTGAATCCGCTTAGATGTGCGCGCGCGCGCTGCCGAGCGAAAGAGATGTCGGTTTCGTTAAAAAGCTTCCAGTTTGCTTCAACACAGTCACGTGGGGCCCCGTATCTGTGTGTGTCGGTGTATCTTTGTATCTCTGTATCTTTGCGGGCGAGCTTCGGCTTCTTGGCCGCTTTTTGCGGCTGAGCTGAGTCAGCAGCGGGCAGGCACCATTAGTTGGAGCACATTTTGTGTATGCTGCCATTAGTTTTTTTTTTTGTTCGTTTTCCCCCTTTTTTTCTCTCGAGGTTTTCTGTGGCCCTGCACAGATACAAAGATACACAGATACAGATACAGATTTGTTTGGCATGGAAAAAAGGCCTTATGCAGCCAAGAACCAGACCGCAGCTGCATTTCTTTTCCCACAGAACTGCATCCACTACTTCATTATTGACCCAGTTTCCCGCACTAGGCTTTCACAGCTGCTGCTCGCTCGCTGCAGCGCCTCTGTGCTGCCAAAACCCTATGATTAAGCCAGGTCCAGTGCGAAACTAGACCAGCGCATAGCGTAGCCTCTTGGCTGCACATCTACCAAAAGAAACAAAAAAAAACTGAAAGTCCCTCGTTAAACAGAAATTGCAGCGGAAATTGGGCGAAAATAAAAATCTGGCGCAGGCCAAAGTGAAATCGGAAATGGAAGACACTCCTCGAACTCCTTCCAATGCATCGACCCATTAGCTTTACCCTTTAGCCATTCCATAAAACTGCCGTTTGGCCGATTGCAAGTGGAATCATCAATCACTGGCTGTTGTCAGTAAATGGAAAACATAATTCAATCAGACAGACCAATTCCATCAATCGAAATTGCATATTTTGAAATAGCTTTTCTTCGTTTTTAGGGAAACTTTTAAGTTTTAAAAAAATGGACACAGGAAAATTTAAATGAAAAGAAAGAAGTTTATAACTTATCAGAGTTAGTTTCTCATAAATCTTATTTTCGAGCCCTGGTATTCAAGATAAGCTAAAAAAAAGCTTAACACTATTTTCCCAGCAGCTTTAAAATTTAGACTTATTTTCTTGCCATTCTGGATGCACTTAGTCGCTTTGGACAGCAACTTGAGGGCATTCATGTGTCGGAATCCCTATCCACCAACCCACGTAGCCATTGCTACGGCTCTTCCCTACCGTTCCAAGCATATGCTGGCATATTCCCCTGGCTATATGATGGAGCACGTTGCTTCCATTTGGTTTCTAACCAACCTGAGCTACCGCCTCCCTGTCCACAGTCCGCGATTGATTGAATGGATGCAAACACTGATTGACTGATTGGGGCTAGCTGCCTGCCTGCAGGTTGTCAGTGGACGTTTTGCATGAACCGTTAATTGAATTCGCCTCCAGGTGGCATTTGTCGAGGTGGAACAGCTCCAGCAGGAAATTGCACAGCTTGCGTTCAATTAGATGGAATTCGATTTCTCCCCAGCCTCCCGCTCGCCGTGCTAAATTCATTTAGCTCTAATGCATTTTAATTGGTTCCTCCCGACCAGGAGTGGATACATGAATACTACATATGCTGGGAACCCAACAGATCCTAGGCATAGGGACCGATGCCAGCGGCGCGTCCCATTAGGGCTGGAATGTTGCTCTGCTCGTAGTTGCCACTGAAGTACTGAGCATAGGGTCCTGAGGCGTACACCGGCACATCATCGCCTCCGTGGGACTCGGCATCCAGCGGAACCAGTGTGGGATGTCGGAAGTCCGGGTCTTCCGTCAACTTCTCCTTAAGCAGGGCCCGGCCCTCGGCGCGATTATAGGCGGAGCTGAAGCCAGGTCCATTGGCATACGAGAGGATCGTGTAGGGCAGATCATCATCCGCCAGCTGAGCCAAGCCAGTGATCTCCTGATCGCGGAACTGCAAAGGAAAGGCAATGTTTAGTTATAGTAACTTTTAGTTAGGATCATCGCTCCTCACCGGATATCCATTGATGGACATGACATGCCCATGATCGGCGGTGACCACGATTAGGGTGTCCTCCTCGGAGGTAAGCTCGCGGGCCACTTGCACAGCCTTGGCAAACTCGGCGGTGTCCTCAAGGGATCTCCGGGCATAGGTGTCATGATGAGCCATATCAATACGGGCGCCCTCGACAAACAGGAAGAATCCCTCGTCGTTGCGTCGCAGCACCTTGATGGCGGCCTCTGTCAGCTCGCTCAGTGAAGGATCCGCCAACTGGCTGCGCTTCCGGTTCCTATCTCCATTGTAGGGCAGGTGGGATCTGGCAAACAGGCCCAGTAGATAGTCCGTATTGTCCAGATCCACCAGGCTGAGACCCTTGCGACTCCACACATAGTTGGCAGAGACATTGGCTTCATTTTTCTGGGCCAACCAATCGCGGATCAAGTGACGGCCATCGGTTCTATAGCCGGGATAACCCTCTTCATCGTTCACTGTGGTGTTGATGAAGTTCTGACGGCCACCGCCAAGGATCACCTTGAGGCCCTGGCCCACCGGTTGCTCCACCAGCTGACGAGCAATGTCGATTGTCTGCTCGGGATCACAATTCCTGTTGGCCACCTCCCAATCGTTCTCCCAGTTGCGATCCGCGGTGTGAGCATAAACGCCGGCCGGAGAGGCGTGTGTCACGCGGGCGGTGGTCACCAGACCCGCATTCTTGCCTGCCGCCTGAGCCCACTGGGCAATGCTCATCACCTGATTCTCCTCCTGTCGGTCGCCATCGCAGTTGTACCTGACTACATTTGCGTTTATGCCAATGGTTCCGTAGTTGCCCTTGACGCCGCCTAAATAGGCGGTGGCCGTGCATGCGGAGTCCGCCACCTGCCTGTTGACGCAGTACGTCTTGGACAGACCCGTGTACGGGAAGCCCTCGAAGTACACCTGCTCTGCACTGTCGCCGAGCAGATTCCGAGTGGCAGTCACCGTGTGCACGGACATGCCGTCGCCCAGGAAAAGGATCACATTTTTGGCCTTGTTTGTTTGCGCTGCCTGAGTTTCGGCCAGTTTGGAGAGCAGCTTGGCCTGGGCCTTGTCCACCCAGTATTGCGTCTGCTGCTCCTCGGCATACTTGATGGGATGATCTTCGGGATCGAAGGAACGACCTCGCGGGTGGTCTGCCAAATGAAAGACGAAGAATATGTAAGAAACACTTGTGGAAGGCTGAAACCTCTATAAATCACTTCGGGGACTTGGCGGATTTCTAATATATCACCGGGATTACGGGAGTCTTATCTCTACGCAAGGGTTAGCATGACTCTCTGATAAGAATTTATTTTCCAAGAATTTTTAGGTAAACTAAATCACTTTCATAAAGTTTAAATACAATTATAAAATACCACTTCCTGTATTTAAAGTTTTTAATAATATATTCCTAATAACCAAGGATATTTGGTTATTTTGCTAGATTGCAACTTTAAATATACTTTTGTTTACAAATTCTGAAATTTCGGTAATTTTTCGATAATTAACATGGCAGATATTCGGCAATAAAGTTGTTACCTATTCTATATATCTATCTCACTCTAAGTCAAGTCTCAAACCATGGGTTAAAGATGGAAAAATTCTACCTTTTAATGCTAAGTTTTATTTCTATATTTGTTTTAACTTTTATTTAATTGGTTTTTAGGCAAAAAGTTGGGAAAATTCGCAATAAAGCGGTAAGTCTATCTTAGTATTTCTTCCATTTACAAAATGTTCCAATTTCTTAGGATCAAAACATCTTACCCCTTTGTCCGCTGACACTACCGCTCAGCCAGACGGCGACGAGGAGGACCAGAATGAATCCCTTAGCCATTTTCCGCTAATCCCAAGTAATCCTAAGCGACTTGTGTGGAGGCCAGACCTTGGTTGCAGACTAAACCGACTGACCAGGGCCCCGCGAAGTGGCCATCGCTGGCAGCTTATCGCCTTGGGTATCACAGAGTAAATCTAATCAAAGGAACTAATCTAGACGGTTCAATTCAAACATCATTTATGGCTGGCCAAGAATCAGTTAACAGAAGTCGTAGAAGGCGGCCAGCCCATGGCCAATGCCAAAATATGCTCACGTGCCCTGGCCACAAACTTTATGAATCTCAGCTTCAGCCAGTGATTACGTGTAGAGGTAGTCATGTAACCGAGTCCAGAGAAAGGAGTCTGGAGTCAGGAAAATCCACCCAAAAACCCTTTCGACTTTTTTTTTACAACTTTTCTCAATCAACTATTTTCCATTGCCACTTTTATTGGTATTTTCAGCACACATACTTTACTCTTTGGGAATTTATGGTTTCAGTGGGAATTTTGCAACACAAACTTATGTCGCTTTGATTAAATAAATTTTTAGAGTTTGTCTAGTTTCTAAAATTCTTTTTTGCATACTTTCGGGCTAGCTAGAAACCTTAGAAAATAGTTGAGGAAAAACCATTCAATCTACAATATGGTTTTGGCCAGCGCCACAATGGAACCTGTAAATTTAATAACCTAAAAATAAGTCTTAAGTGAGTTTAAGGATATTTCCTCGATGAGTATCAAACCCACCGAAGTAAAGACTGGCAGTGAAGGTGCAAAGAAAGGCACCTTGACTGTGATGGGTCGCTGGGCTCGCAGGATAATCAGGAATACCCGTCGACGTGTCTCCCGATCCCATTTGTACCAGGCACTGCTGTAGGCAGCTTCTCCCAAAGAAAGGCTCTGCAAGGATAAGTCAATTTATATAAAATTTATATAAGAGAAAGGAAGGTAAGAACTCACCTCGGTGGCCATTTCCGTGCCACCGTAGCAGTATAGAAATATGGCTGAGGAAACAGTACAGGTGTACACCACATAGCGTATGATATTGTAGCCGGAATACTAGTAAATAATATTTATAAATAAATTAATAAGGGTTTATAATGGGTTATGCTTACTAAAAGTATATCAATAACGCTGGTGGCTATCACCACACTGGCCGACACAAAATGCACAAAGGTGGGAGCTGCCATGATACCCGAGAAGCGCTCCACAATCTTCTCGATTTCATTGTGACGATCCACGATATCGGCCAAGCGCTGACAGCATATATCAGTCTCTCGAGGTGAAGGATCTGTAAAAAAGAAATATATATACTTAACAAAACGGAAGTTGAAGATAATTAATCTTAAAATAAAAGAAACCTTTAACATTGTTTACCTTCAATAGGCCTGAGGGTTTCCTGGATATCCCATTGCAGAGCCTGCAGCAGAAAGGCCACATAGAGGGTAAAGCCAAAGAAAAAACCATCGGTGCCGGCAAAGGCATACACTGTGACCTGACCACTCCAGGTGGAGTAGAGATAGAAAAACCAAAACCAAGGCATTCGATGGGCAAAATCCGGAAACCTAAATAAAATTCAAAAACTCCACTTTTTACAAAAATCTCAAAATATTAAAAAAAAAATCCAAACACACAGCATTCGAAAGGGCATATCAAACTTGAACTCCTGCCGGCGACGTGCATACATCTCCCAAAGGGAACGCAAAACAAAAGCCCCTGTGGTGATGCTGCCCATTGTGAAAACCAGCATTCCACACCTAGTGGCCATCACATAGCAGCTCCTTTGGGCCAAATCTCGTCGCTCATCCCGCCTCTTCTCCTGCTCTTCGATTAGCTGACGAATGCGTTCCATCAGGGCAGCCACCTCCTGACATCGCCACCACATCCAGCCCAGCTTAAAGAGCGTGGTCAGGCTGCAGGCCAGCGGGCAGAAGGCATCCATTGCATCCACAGGACTGGTACGCAGGTGGCTCCATCCAAAGACAAACTCCGCCTGACAGCAGTGCGCCAGATTCACAAAGTTGAAAACCAACCAGATCCATTGCCACCATGACAACTTCTGATCAAAGCTTAGGCCCAGCAGACCGAAGGAGTATCTGGTCACAAAGAACAGATGCTTCGCCAAGGGATAGTTGCGGTCTAGAAATCGCGGATACATGTCGTTTCTTTGGGAACAGAAGCTACCCTTTTTATATAGGAGCAGCACTAATGAGGGGCTTCTAATGAGGAGCTTACACTAATTGTTTAATTATTGTTTTTCCCGCGGAGGCCATGCCACCTGGCCTGGTGTTTAATGACAGGATTATTGAAAGTCCCTAATTGAGTGGGCGACAGACCCAACACGCCCACCGAACACATGTCATTATGGTCACAAAGCAGTGTTATTTCAGGGATCTCTAACCTTAATAATTAAAAATTGTTCAAGAAAAGAGGCCTTACCATAAACTTAACTTAGAATTTCAGTAGGGATTCGCTTGATCTTGAAAGAGCTACGACTACGATTTGTTCCTGAACAATTTACTAAACGAAAGCCACCTTAAATCAAAGTGAAATTCGCGTTAAAAAAGTATAATATATTTCTGTTGACATTGATTTCTTGGCATTAATCCGAGGGCGGTACTTGCTTTCAGGAATCTGTAACTTAATAATTAAAAATTTGCATTTATCATTTCAGTAGGGATACTATTGATCCTGTTTCTGAAAACTTTACTAATTGAAAGTCATCTTAAATCAAAATTAAATTCAAATTCGTATGAAATCCCTGATGACATTGATTTCTGACAAGGACAAATGCCCAAGGTACCTTGGCACTTTGTTATTCAGTTTTCCGAGAGCGGAACTTGCTGAATATCGGAAATGAAATAAGTTAGTGGATGGGAATTCCTTTCCTCCAGCTTGACTTGCTCCCGATTCCATTTCCCTCCTCTTTGCGTTATTCAAGATACTTTCAACCCGAAAGGCCATCCATAAATATGAGCTTCCCTTTGTCGTGGGCTCTCCGACGCTGAGCATAAATTTCTGTGTGTTTGCCCTTTTTTTTTGTTGTCTTCGCTGGTCTTGTGTCTTTTGTTGCTGGTGTGTAGTTTGTTGAACTCCCGATGAACTCGCGCGTCGAAATTGGAATTTCAAATCGCGCGGCGATGTGGGTCAGCCAAGAAGAAACATTCAACATTCGCGTAGGATTTGCATAGGATTCGCAGCACACACAGATTTATGTTGATGCATGCAATGCGAGTGTGGGTTTGCCTTATTTTTTTTGGGGTGAATCACTTTTAATTAAGTTCTTGGTGCGGGGCTCACGTGGCGTATGAGCAATATTGATTTCCAGCGGGGGCGGCAAGGCACTCTCCCTTGATTATGATTATTTTGCCAACGAGGGGACGGGGCGAGGTAATCTCAGTAGGAAGGAAAGGAAAAACATCCCCGCTCCCAATTCTGATATCATCATCGCAGGGCCACCTCCCCCAAAACAAAACCCCCCAAGCTTTGGCGCCTCGTTTTATGATAGCAGGGGGAACCACCCCCGAAAAAGGCAACAAAGGTGACCCCGACACACCCTGTTGAGCCAAGTAGCAGAGCTGAGCGAGGGAGCCAACCCCTGGAAAAGTTCGCCTGGAAGCCCAAGGAAAGCCATTACATTTGATTTTCCTGGCGCCCTGCGATCCTGCTGCAGGAAAAATGAGGAAAACCCGTATCGTACAGCAAACAGCAAGTGGAAAAACTAGAGGAGTGCCAGCTGGAAGCGAGAAAAAGGAGGCCAGCGTGTCAGCGAGTCGCCAAAAACAAAAAAAAAAAAAAAGTAGAAAAAACAGTGCAGAACCCGAATGAAAAACCCGTTTTCCCACTCGCTGCTGGTTGGCCCACATTCGCCATGTTGCCGTTGAAAATGGAAGCGAGTTTTCCCAGTTTCCCCTTTAGCTGTACAAAAGCAAAGGTGCCCCGAAACAGGTTGATTTTCCTGCCAACGCCGTTGGCCATTAGCCAAATGGGATTTCACACGCTTCCTTTGGGCTCCAGCTCGGGCTCCGCTCTGATGCGTTCACCTCACGCCATGGCCCAGTTGGAGTTGGAGCTCGCTGGAGAGTTTGCTGTTGGTGCCTGTCAGCGCCACCATCCAACATCATCCGTGCCATCCGTCCCACTCAACTGCCATCATCATCATCATTGTCAACATCACCATCCAGCCAGTCATCCAGTCATCCATCTAGCCATTCAGTCCTCCAGCTGCAGGCGGGATCAATTATTAAGGCGCCGCTCGGGAGGTGTGTGTGTGTGTCTGTGTGCGACAACCTGATTGACAACCTGAGCCTGGAGGCTCGGAGCCTCTCAGCACGTCATCCGCTTGGCATAAAGCCCATATTCACGGTTGGCAATCAGTTCCAGCTGACAAAATGGGGAGAGTTTTAAGTGGTATTTGGGGTTTTATAAATATCTTATTTAGTTTGGGTAAGGCTATTATTCTTGATACTTAAATTTAAAATCAAGTTCTTTATTTTTTTAATTATTTCTTGAATATTTTACTTTAATTTAAAATTACCTATTTGTGCGAATGTACTACAAAAATGACTACAATCACACAAAACTCATGGAATTTATTAAAAAATAATTTAAATATTGCTATCTCGCTCAGAGGTTTAGACGAGTGTGGAACCGTGGTTTTAGAATAAGGTGACTCAAACGGGATAGATTTTAGCTTTTCTACTTGTTTTTGGTTAAATTTAAAATGTAAAATGCATTCCATTATCTAACTTGATTCCGGGAATTAAAACAGCGAAATGTATATATAAATATATATAATAAAAACTGACAAAAATGTTATTTTCATTTGGTGTCAGTCTTTATAGGCTTTTGACATGATATTTAAAGTGTTTTATGTGCGTGATCATAGATACACGCCAGGAGCAGTTAACCCAAATGAGTTCATATTGTATAACCTATATAAAATATCCTATATTTAAACAACTTTCAGTTATTTCAAACGACAATCCGAAACATCTATTTTTCATAGCGCTACGGCTGATTCGTCTTCTGCTGTTAAATTCACAAAGCGGCGTTAATTATAATTAAAACACGCCAACTAAATGAATAAATGTATTAATAGCCTGTACATGACTCTATATGCCCGAGTCATACATATGTATCTAGAGAAGCACTACCACGAGTGCACTCATAAAGATATATATATTGTAGTAAATATGTATATGGAATATGTGGGGCTTATATCCCGTTCACATGGCCACAGATCGAGCGTGACACAATACAATTTGTGGCGCTTTGTTCTAAGCGCTTGAAAACTCTTCGCTTCTAGCCGCCGCTTGGGCCGCCCCCCTTTGGCCCCGATTTCCCCCCATCGCTTTTCCCCACCCTTTTCCACAGCCCCTTTGGCACTGAGCAGACGTGACATAAGCTAAATTGTTTTAAATTTTGTTGAATCGCTTTTCCAATGACTGCCAAGCATTCTCGGTACTGCCCGCCGCTGGCGATAAATTGGAACCGCTTCGCATGTCATGTGGTCGAGTGGTTGGGAATTGTGGCTGCTGGGAGGGAAGGGTCTGGGTCTGCGGTCTGGTACGGAGCTTGTGTCTAACTTAGCCGCCGGGGGCAGATCTTTAAACTGCGGCTGCACTGCACCAGATAATTGCCGACCAAATGGAGATGTCAGCTGATGGTGCGGGAAGGGGTATTTGGGGCACAGCACACACCAAACTTACCCACAGCAAACGCCTCTGATTAATGACAATTAGCGCGGATCGATGTTGGATCGGTGGTGGCCTCCAGTTTGGTCATAGTTACAGCTGGGAATACGAACAAGCACATCCTCCTCCGTCGATGTATAATGACATCAACAAGCATTTAATATAACAAGGCTATCAAATAGTGTGGGCAAGCAGAGGAGTGTTGAAATCGAGTTGACATTAATTAATTTTCATTTGTAATGGGTTATGTTAATTTAGAGAATAATTAACATATTATTAATAAGATATATGTATACATTTTATGGATATTAAAAATCAAAAGAATACATTTTTACTCCTCAGATTTCTTATCTCAAACCTACTATAAGTTTTACTTTATAGGAATTTAATTATTATTTAAATATAATTAACTTTAAATTTTATATCTTTGAATTCAGTGAAGCTTAACATTGTCAGAGCCTTTTTTACTGTTTAAAGTCTTGTAGTAACAAAGCCCTGCATTGTGACATCTTGATCCCACCTGGATTATTATTGGGTAACTTTGTGGGTATTATAGTTTTGACATTTAGCCCTAACCCTTTACAAGCGAAGCAAAAAGCTGAAAGCTCCAATGGAGCGCAGGAGGCTTCTCCTACCTAAAAAAAAAAACCCATTAATCACACAACGCTAAACCCGGCCACAAAAGTGTTCTGACTGAAGCTCTGAAGCTAAATCTGAAGTGAGGGACTAAGAGCCGAATCCACACATTATGAACTCGCTGCCTTCAAGGCCAACTTCTTATTAAATGCCAAAATGTGAGAGAGCCTTAGAGTTAAGGCATCGCCGAAAAGTTGCAAGGGGCTGTGATTATAATTACAGGCCGACCAAAGATCAAAAATGGAACGATGGGCTTCGTTGCTTGTTCAGTGCTACCGGATTATTGTAAAACTAGCTTTCAGAGATCATCAAATGCAAGATGGCGTCATCTCGGCTTAGCAACTAATGTAGAATTTACCCGGATGGATCGTTTGAAAAGGGGTCGGGGATGCCTTTGCTAATGAGTAACAAGTCTACTGTAAGGCCTCACAGTACAGTGGGGTTTCTAAAACATGAACATTCTTAATAGCTTCAAATTCTTTGATTATTATTTTAGGGTTTACTGGAAATTTACTTTTATAGAGTTCTGTTGGAGGTTCTCTTATTCTGTTCAAAAAAGTAAAGAAGCTACTATAAAAACACAACTGTATGTTTGTTATTATTGACTTTATTATACAATAATTATTCCTGGAATCATTTGCATCAATCATTACTCATAATAACATTAAGCATTTTTGTTTTTGTATTGTCAATTCTTGGAAATACCCTCTGATTATTTTTTAAAGACTAGATTTGCAAAACTCAATATAATTATTTTTTAATCATACATACATACATGTTGCAGTATATTTAAGTTAAATGTATGTCAAATGTCTTGATAATTAAT